CCGCGTCCCCGCGTGCGCATCGCGGTCGCGTACCGTTTCGGCTAGGCCCGAGTCCGCGCCCCCTTGTCCCTTCCCTCACAAGACCACATCCCCGATCCGACGAGCTTGGTCGCCGCCGCCAGCCACCGTCGTACCTCCCCTCTCAAATCCGTGCCGTTAAACGGATTCTCCCTGACCTCCTCTAGCTGCCGGCGGTAGCCGCTCGCTCCGGTTCACCGCTGCTCGCCGGAACGCCTCGCGCGTCGTCGGCCGTCCGATCCCGGGCGCCTCCTCCTCCTCCTCCTCCCCTTTCGCCCCTGCCCGCGTGGCCGACCACGTGGCAGCCACCTCAGCCCCGGGCCCGCTTGACTGGGTCAAGTCGCGCCCAGTCAGCCTCCTCCCTCCGTCTTCCCTCCCGTGCGCGCGGTCCACGGCAAGCCGTGCGGCTGCACGTGGGCCCGCCGCCATCCGTCCACCCGGCGCGCCGCGCCCGAACCGCGCGCACCCGAAACCCTAGCGCCCGCCCCCGCGTGCGCCCTCCCCACCGTGAACCCAACCACCGCCATGTGGGTCCCGCGCGGTGGACCGCGCCCACCCCGTCGGGCCTCCCTCTCTCCCCGCGCGCCCTAATGGGCCGTCTCCCCATGGCCGCGCTCGGCCCAATGGCCGGCCAAGCCTTGTGAATCTCTCGAGCCGCGCCTAAGTCGCCCGAGGAAGTCTAAATCCGATCCCTCCTTCCTTTTCTTTTCCAAGGGAATTAATAATTCCTTTTCCTTGTCCAGAAAATCCATTTAGACCTCCAAAATTCATATCCCTCGATCCGTAGCTCCGATCGCCTCCGTTCCACTTCCAGTAATTCCGTAAAATTGAGACCTATTTAATGGCACTACTAATAGGTCTAAATAGGATCTTTCTTTTGGTCTTTTGTTTAGGTTTTCGATTGTTTGCGTATAGTTGCGGTTATCGGATTTTCGTCGATCGCGGGTTTTCTCGAAGATTCGTGAAGCTTCGTGAAGACCTTGAGCAAGGCAAGTCACCCTTTGATCAATTGCTCCTATAATTGAAAAGTCATTATTATTTTATTTGCAACTTGCATTATTAGAATCACACTTAACTTGCTTGGCCTCGGTTTGCGTGCCAAACCGACGGACCTACCCAGTAGTCGCACTAATTTCCGTAGGTCGTACTACCCTGTTTCCTTGTCGCTCCACCCTTGTGGTACCTCGGTATTCGTGTTCTCTGAGCGCGTATACCAAATATCCCACATACACCGTTGTTTGTCGAAAACTTGGGAAATGGGTTTGTGAAGCCTTCAAAACCCGACATGTGGTGTCGGTGTGTTTGAAAATAAAATGAATTGTGAAAACTCGCGATGCGGGGGTTGTGCCTATGTGGCACTGTCCCGTATTCGCATATAAGGACCGATTCCTGTAGGAAACTCATCGAACATAATCAAAGTGCAACCACAAGGTGGAATGGGACACCCTGGCTAAGTAACTAGTCGGTTCAGGGAAACCTCGCATGCCAATAGTTGGGAACGCCGGGGCGGGGTCGGACAAACCGGGTTCCTGGTAAGGCAAGGACGAGAAGCTTGCTCACTTACCGATCAAGGTGGTTGGAGTTGATTTGTGAATGCCTAAAATGGCCTATACTTACGTGAGGATTTGATCCTTCTATGTGGCATGAGGTAACCCTGGGTCGGCTTGGGAAAGGCTTTGTCGCGAACCTCTGACACCGGCCAGTGTCTGGAGTAAGTTCGTGTCTTGTGGGTAAAGTGTACCCCTCTGCAGAGGTTAACTAACTGTTCGAACAGCCGTGCCCACGGTCATGGGCGGATGTGAGGTGGTTCCCGTTGCGTAGATTTGTTTGCCTGTGCTTTGTGAAAAGTTGTTGTGGTGTGGGAATCGTAACCAGAATCAGCCTATGTGGCAGATGGACGACCTGAGTGGTCAGAAACGAATCTGTGTGATTCGGGATGTCTGCGGGCATCATAGACTAGGCTTCCCGAGTGGAAGCGGATTGTTGTGCTGCTGGGTAGCTGGACTCTGGGAGTCCGAGAAAATGAAAAAGGCTCTGGGAGCCGATTAATCAAGTGGAATGGCTCTGGGAGCCGAGAAGTAATGATCTGACCCGGGAGGTCGGTACATTGCCAAATGAGCTGTTGAAAAACATCTCTTAAAGTCGAATCGAGACGCAAGTCTCTTTTCGGCCCAAACTTAGAAAGAAATAAATCACTTAGTGATTTCAAAATGTCTTCAAATAAAAGATTTGCAAAACAACCTTGCCTCTCTTCCAAGCTTGCATTAAACACCTAAGTTCCCGTGACTTGCTGAGTACGAAAGTACTCACCCTTGCTCTATATAAATATATAAATATATATAGTTCCTCCGCCCTGAAGAGAAGATAAAGTGAAGTGAAGATTAGGGTTTCGTCCTGGTTCCCAGCCGTCGCCTGTGGTGTTGGGTATTAGACCGTTGGTTCCGCTGCTGCTGTTGTTGGTGTTCGCCTCGTCCGTGTCGTCGGTTGTATTCTCGGGCTGTCTGAGCTGCAACCTAAGTTAAGGTAAATAAGTCCTCTATTTATTTTAAAGATTGCTATGATTCATATTTGTCACCGTGGGTACCAGCACTATGTCCTGGGACTGGTACCGAGATCGCGGTTTCGTAGGAAGCGGTTCGCGCAGTTTTCCCTACGACACGCTCCTGTCAGGTGCCGTTGTACGGCGGTATCAGATTGGGGTGTGACATCACATAACTTCGCTCACTGGGTCCTCAAATCTCACCCGCTATCCTCGGCTGAAAAAAAAAAAGAGGGGCCTCACAGTTCTCTGGTGGAGGAGTTCACCCTCTGACAATGTCACTTTCAAAGCAATGGATAATGCACAAGTAGCTTTCCCATGCATGAACCAGAACATGCATGTAGGATAAGCTAGCTAGGTTTAATCCATATAGATATAGTACAAGTTCATAGTCAATGGCGTGGACGTAGTAATTAATTAGTGTGTACATGAGGGATGTGATCAACTTGGTGACTTGATAAGCACAGTGTAAGTGTAAATTAATATTCTTTTTGATGACGTTGTTTGCTCGGACTAATATAATTGCCACTGGAATTGGATTCCATAGAGTTGTTTATGAAAGAATGCCTTGCCAAGATACGAGACAGAGATACAGTGGAAATATGAAACTTGTCTAAGTTGGATAGCGTTCTGATCAGCCTGCAAGCAAAACTATTGTACGTACAGTTAGCTGATCAAGAATTATCTCAAACTTAATTATGTCTTCATAACATCTTTCATTGAGATTTCTTGCCGGCAAAGTATATATGTGACTTATAATGCATATAGAAGTTCGTTCAGTGCAGTTTCTTGGAACGCTAGAGAGGATATATGACGAGAACATTTTTTTTTCCTGATTCACAAAACAGTCTACAAATGATAGTTAATTTTTGTTTAAAGATAAAGGAGATATTTTTTATTGCAGTATAAGATATCGTCTATAAATTATAGTTAAAACCAACTTATGATGAAAATGAAATTACATGTTAAAAAATAAAAAAGAAACGTTAAACTATGTTTTCTCCCTATACAAGTCATTTATATCGGGCAAATTGAGTAAATGCCCATGTACACAAATTGAGTAAGCCAAGAACAAAACCATTACTACAAAACAATACTTATAGTGTTAGTTTTTCCCCCTCATCAATGTTGGTTTTGAAACTAGCACTAATTATTGAGCACTTATGAGAGGATCCTCATGTTACCGGTTCCTAATCCGAGAGTGATAGGGTGACAATTTGAAAAACAAAAGAGCTGGTACGACTCTATTGAAGCCGAGCCGATGCATCATCATCGAGCATCTTTATCCACAAAACAAAACAATCACGAATCCAACTAAAGTAGCAGTCACAAAGGCATCCTAAAAATTGGTATGGTTGAATCAAACACTTTACAGAACATAGATCCAGTTTTTTGCATAATCTCTAAGCATATACAAACATCCATATCGAACTTTTTTCGGAACAAGCACAAGACACGCTTGTTAACTAGAAAAAAAAATCCCATTGAGTGTCAACTCGTTTTTTCACCGTGATGGCATCAGATCCATCATCCCTCGCTCCTCCGGCATGAACTGTCACTAGCTCACACGTCGTTGCAATCAGTGCTTATTTATTTGAAAAACTAGCCATGTGGAAACACATTAATACTGGTTTTTTTAATGAACCAGCACTTATGTGGCATCATTAATGATGGTTATTCCATGCGGATGACGCGCATGGGCCGGCGGGTGGACAGGAAACCGCTATCAATGCTGAGTTTTCCTTGTTTGGTATTGATAGGGTGTTACTCCCTCCATCCCATAAAAATTACATTTCTAGCTAATTTAGAACAAAACAATAGGATTGGAAAATAACCATAATGACCTTATTTAATGAACCCATTGCATGCACACATTCCATATATACAAATGATTAAAAGAAAGTTTGAGAGAATTAACCCATATAATTAGCATACTTTAATTACAAGCTGAGAGAACTTAAGGAAACTTATCTAGATGAATCAATTTGCTAGGGCCCAAATGGCTAGATATATAATTTTTATGGGACAAAGCCTTAGAGCTAGAAATGCAATTTTTTTAGGACGGAGGTAGTACGATTAAGCAGTTTTGTACTTCCTCCGGGCTAATAATACTTATCGTTTTAGGTAAGGGTGAGGTCAAACTTTAGAACTTTTGATTATGAATCATTTTTAAAATATTTGTCTTTCAAATATGATGACTACATGTATAGATTAGTCTTAGAAAGTACTTAATAAAATCATATATTTGTTAACACTTTTATACATATTATAATGGACAATAATGGTTAAAGTTGTTTTTTTAAGACCGTGCTCTTATCCAAAACAATAAGTATTATCAACCGGGAGGGAGTAGCAGTGAACATGGCTTAACATGTGTCTTTTAGAGTCTGGACCCTCTGCTTCGTTGTGCAAAACATGGACTTATTTCTCCACATGTACTATATATGATTAGAGAAATGGAAGTTTTTATTTCTGATATATACAAAAATGGAACGAGGAACATGTTTCAAAGTAACAAACCACCCCCAACACACACATGAAGACCAATTCGATTCAATCAGAAGCAGTTCGACCATCACACATAACCGAGATTTTAATTTAAAGAGATTTTACGGCCTAGCAGAACAGTAAAATCACTTTAATTTTTTTTATCACTCCTTAATTCAATTTAATTTGAGGGCTCGTTTTGGCGCCGGCGCCGCTCGTCGGAGAGCTGCTTTGCGAACTTGGCAAGCTGATCTCTGTTCGTGCCTTCGCCGGCCACATCCACGTAATGGCCGGTCTCCAGGTCTACTCGTGAGACGTTCTTGTCGAGAAGCATTTCCCCAATCTTCACCAGGTTATCCATGTTTTCCTTGGAGCAGTCGTCGATCGAGCCCGCACTGCCCGTCAACTGATCATACTGCATTTACACTCCAACAGATCGATCATATATCGATACAACATCTTGTTAAGTTAGAGAAAAATTTTCTAATTGTCTTCTTTATCGAAGAAAAGTCACAAATTACGACTAAGAACAAGGTGAAACTAGACCTTAGGCTCCTTAATTTGAAAAGAAAACTAGAGTTCAGGCTACTTTTGAGGTCCTGTTTTTCCCCAAATAGACTCAAACGCAGTGCAATATATGGACATTGTTTAGGTCCTGTTTAGGCTACTTTACTCAGTTTTGACGTTCCACTTTGATCATTAATTTTTTATTAGAATATTGTGCAAGTCTTATAAAGAAAAAAATATACTTATATGATTTTTACGTTTTCAAAATATTTTGAGATACTAATGGTCAAAGTACGGTGGTACTACCTCTTTATGGATAGTAAAAACTTCTCATCTAGCACAAATAGGTATTTTACCTGTATGCGTAAGTAGTTCTTTTCGCATTGAAGAGCGCTGAAGAGCACACCGAGGTGGATGTCAACCATGTCAGCACTAGCAGAAGTAAACATGTCGATGATGGGAGCTGAGCTACCCTTGATGAGCCAGTTGAAGATTCCCCACTTGGCAGCGTCCTTGGCCTTGTATTTCTGATCGTGATTCGACCCACAGCCGATGGAGATCACCATGAACTTGCCATACTCCGTCGGCTTCACCGGGAAGAAGTCGCAATCTTCCTTGTCCTCGAGGATGATATACTTGGACACTTGGCTCATTGCACACAATGTCTACACATACAGTTCCATGTCTATATATTATTATATTCCAACAGATATACTCCCTCCGTCTCTAAATATTTGACACCGTTAATTTTTTAGCACATGTTTGACTGTTCGTCGTATTTAAAAAAATTTATGAAATATGTAAAACTATATGTACACATATAAGTATATTTAACAATAAATTGAATGGTAGGAAAAGAATTAATAATTACTTAAATTTTTTAATAAAACGAACGGTCAAACGTATTTAAAAAAGTCAATGGTGTCAAATATTTAGAAACAGAGGGAGTATTATTAGGACTCTTTTGCAGAATGGGATTTTCACAGGAAATAGTTTGATTCCCTTAAAAGTCCTAAAAAAAGAAACCTGAGGTTTGCATCGGCGACACGTGGTGCTTACCGGGTTGTTGGCGGCGACCCCACCGTCGACGAGGTTGAACTCCCTCGTCTGGCCATTGTCGTCTTTGGTCTCGAAATAGTGCGCCGGGAAGAAGGTCGGTGCGGCGGAGGTGCTGATCGAAATGTCCGACAGGAGAGCATTCTTCAGTGGCTTGTACTTCAACTGATCATCACCAAACCATCCATATATTAGAAATTCCAAACATTTCATTATCCTTTATAGTTTATACCCATGTGTGTTGACTATAAGGTTTGGTCCCGATTACTTCTTAAAATGGGACACTTTTTTCTTTATATAAAACGTCGGCAACAGCCTGATCGTTCGAAAAAAAGACTATACACAAAAATAGTTTATCTTTGGTTAATCTTCATTCGCCAAAAATTCTCTTGTTCTGATTAAGCCACCTAATTAAAACTGTGCACATCATCGTCTTAGCTCTATTTGTGGCTATATATTCCACTGGAAAAGTGGATATTGACATTGATGATTGATATCCACTACTAGAGCAAAATTGGTGGTAGCTGCTTCACTGATGGGGGGTAGACGAAAATTATGCTCGTGTGTAGGTGATGAGCCCGGTCACTGAAACATCATGGGAAGAAAGAAAACGACGCTGTACCTCGAATTTGGAGAAGATGGTTGGTTGCAGGTTAGCGATGTCGAAGGTGGGAATAACCACGTTCGTCAGCGCCTTGTCCAGCCTCGTGTCGCCGAGCTTCTCTCGGAGCAGCGAATGGAGGTACTTGCCGTCGTACTTTGGGCCACTCACCATCCTCAGCGTGCCGGCGATCTTGGACAAGACCCAGTTCCTGCGAATTCACCGGCTCATTCACCATTGATTAGAATATATATATAAATAATAATCAAGTTGTTGCAATCTTCAGCAAGCAAACGATGCATGTTGTACTAAGAAATGTAATTTTATATGACAAATTGGTTTGCTATGTGTGCATGCATATGCATGGGACTAGGTTACTACTTCTGTGGGAAGATGCTGGGCGAGTGTTCGATGTAGAATTTGGCCAATTCGTCGGCGGCGAACAGTGGCCGGTTGTTCTCGTTTGGAGCAGTGAGCATCGCCGTCAGGAGGCCACCGGTGCTCGTGCCGGCGACGACGTCGAAGTAGTCAGCGATCCTAGCATCCGGACCATCCAGTTTCTACACAAACTCAGACAAGTCATCACTAATAATTAAGTCACAGTGTAACAAGAACAATTCACAACTTTAGTTCAATTATATTGTTCATCACTTACTTGGAGCTCTTTCTCAAGGAAGGCGAGGATGGTGGCCGGGATGATCCCTCTGACGCCGCCGCCGTCGATGCTCAGGACGGTGACCATCTTGACCTTTTCAGGAGAGCTCGAACTTGCACCTTCCGGTGAGCTAGCACTTGCCATCGTTTTGCTACTTTGATAGCTCAAAATCAGGCTAATATTGATGCAACGACTTATGGAACGAAAGAAAGAACAATGCAAGATTGGCGGTGATTAGCAGGAAGGCAAGCAAGCAATTTGGGGTTCTTTTATAAAGACATGCACGTTTGCAACAGAAGGAAGCAAGGAACAAAGATTGGCCAGGTCAGCTGCAGAGATACATAGGCTAACCGGCAGTTGCCAACTAAGACTAATAAAAACTTCATCAAGAAAAAAAAATTAAGCCTAATAAACAACATCGTTTAATTAGCTTTAATTAATCATCAGTTCCTTTCAACGGTTTGGTGCCTTGCTTGAACTTTTCTTGAAAAGAATATCTATTAAAATGCTCTTAGTTTGAGAAGAAACTTAACAAGTGCTGCGTCAACTACAACTTGTCATATAATTTCGCAATGCTTGCAGATCGCGTTTAATTAGGATAACATACTGAGACGTGCTTAATTATATTTTCTCTCGAGCAATAATGGAAATGATAATAGCATGCATGGAACCAATGTGGGAGAAAAGAATTAATGTAGATAAAAAGGAATAAAATAAGACAAATTAACTAACAGCTTCGGTTAATTAAGTTGCATGGTTTGCAGTCACCAATCCAGGAGGAAGAAGCGAAAAACAGAAAAGAAAATTAGGGGGGGGGGAAAGGAAAAGGAGATAAGGAAAAAGAAGAGGAGGGGGAAAAATTATGGTTGGTGTATTTTACTATATTTACGTGGTTTTTAGTAGCAATAAGCATCCACACATCTGCTCCGAGAGGTTAAGAGATTTGCAGATTTTGAGGAGAAAAAAGGCGGATATACAGTATATATTACATATTTGACATTCAAGGAAAAAAGAAAAGCAGATATATATTGCATATTTGGGTTCTGGTTACAACAACGTTCACTCTGAAAAGTTAAGAGATTTGCACATGTTGATAGAGAGAAGAAAAAGGAGGATACTTATTGTATATTTGGGTTCTGGTCACAACAATGGTACTGGTTGTTTGAGCCATGCATTAAAAGCCACATCCAATTTTGTTTTGATTTCACTATGCCTTGGTTTTTAGTTAAGCTATAGGAGTATCTATGTTACCTTAAAAGAGAGAATCCCTTATATACCACTAGAATTTGACCAGTTTTTTTATATGTCACTTAAAATTGGTTTCTCCCTTATATGCCACTAGTTCAAGTTTTTCTACCCTTTTATGCCACACCCACCACTATAGTGTTAGTTGACTGTTAGTTAAAGATTAGTTTTTTTTCGTAAATGACCAATATGCCCTCTCAACTAAAAAATGTGTAAACTTCAAAAAAATCATAACTAATTTATTTTAAATCCTTTTTGAGTGAATAAAATTTTGTCAGAACCAGTGAAAAATGCTCTTTATATTAAAAATATTGTTAGAAAACTGCATGTTTCATGCTTACATTGAAAATTTATTTGTGATGGTAATGGCTAAAATTGCATGTGATGCAGAAAAAATCAATTTTCATATGTTGTATCCAGTAGCTATATTAGTACTAAAATACTTATTATTGGTTGTATACTAATTCTCAAGGGCAAATGCGTCTTTTTACAATGAAGTTAATGGTCAACTGACGGTGGACTGACGGCAATGGCATAAAAGGGAGGAGAAACTTGAACCGGTGGCATAAAAGGGAGAAGCCAATTTGAAGTGGCATATAAAGGAGCCAGTTAATTTAAAGTGATATATAAGGGATTCTCTCTACTTTAAAAGCGGAGTTGTCCTCCATCTGCCCCATGTAGAGCAGTAGAGGTCGTCTGCTCCTTCTCGTGTGGTAACCATTGAAGAATCCTCTGCTTTATTATCCATAATCCATCCACCCAGCCATTACTCAATTATATGAGCTTGATTCGTGTTTATTCTCAATTCATCCAATCTCCAATTATATGGGTCTGATCCATTGCAAAGTACGGGCATATTACTAGTAATTATAAAACTCTAAACCTAAAATTTGTTTCTGTTTGCTTGTTCATGAGGCTTTGACTGATATCCATATATATTGGATTTTCTCAAATCGTATAAGAAATCGGAGCCATCTTTTCGCTTTGCAAACGAAAAGTAATTTGTGAATAAAAATTTTATATATGTGTTCTTAGCAATCTAAAAGCAAAGGTTGGAAAATAAAATTCGATGAAAAAACCTCAAAATCAGCTCATGAGAAAATTCAAATTTTAGCTGATAATTGTAAGCATAAGCGAAAAGATGAGGCCCAGATTTACATTTCCAATCAGACGGTTCCGTTCATATACATATGTATATATGTATGTATGTATATATATATATATATATATATATATATATATATATATATATATATATATATATATATATATATATATATATATATATATATATATATATATATGCGCTAAACCGCACCTAGGGTGCGCTATAACTAAAATGCTATGCTCCCCTCACACACAAACTAAGTTGTCCAGTTGGGGGTGGAAAATTCTATTATTTTGGTTGAAATATTGAACGGCTTGTCGGAAGGTATATATATTCAAAGGATGAGATAATTAATGTTTCCAAGTACTTGCATTGACATCGTCAGGAAGTCTTAGTGCTCTTAAGAAACAAAATATATGCATTACAATGTAAACATGTTTACAACGAGGAACAGATGTAATACTACCAGCTAAGACCTAAGAAGATGCAAACATAAATCCACCAATGTTGTCTCTCTTTTCTTAACGTTATCTTCTCAAAGTAGAACGCGTGAAACAAAAAAAATACATACAGCTATTATGATTGATAAATAAGATGCTGTGAGCTTGTGTGTTGTGATTTGTGATAATGATCATACTAAAAAAGCTGTGGATCCGTGTTGTTTATTGACTACTTCGAACCAGGTGGGAATTAACCAAAAAAATAATCGAGATTGTTAACCTGGTTGTTGAGTGGAAGGTAAAGAAACTAAGCTATTGATAAATATTTAATTAGTTATTTTCTTTTGTGTCGCACGCAATTTGTGCTTGGAGATGAAGTCGGTTTGATTGACATCAATTTCAGTTTTGCAAGTCTATATTGATGGAAATAGCGGGCACACTTCCCTTCCTTCACTTCATGAATAACTTCATGTACTACTGCTGAAACAAACCATGATGACAGGGCTGCGCAAACAAAATAGTAGCCCGGTGACCGAACAATAGTACAAGTCTTAATCATATTCTGTGATAAATTTATACAGGCTAACAGCAGGTCCAGATATGATCATACGAACGCCCTCCAAAATTATCAATCTATAGTAACAACAGAATTAGAACATTACAGAGGCTTTGGTTCACTCGCAAAGACAAATTCAGTTCAGTAGGCACATTATAGTACATCATCATTTTATGAATACATACAAGGAAAAAGAATTAGAAAACAGACAGTACAACAACCACGGCACAACTAATAATCAACCTGTTAGACAAGATACCTGTGTTACAAGTAGCCAGTAAGTATGGAAGACTGACAGCATAGATGAGCAAAAATCTTTGAGGGACTCATGCTTTTCATCTGGCATTGAAAATAGCAATCTGAGTTTAAGGTCGAACCATTATCATGTTGCATCCAGAATGCCCTTAAAATGGTTAGCCAAGGCATATGTTAGGATCATCTTCATCTGAGTCAAACTCCACCTGCCATCCACCATTGCATTTTAATAGTTAGTGGATACAGATGCTGGTATAAATTTGGATTGCACAGTGGAGAGGAGAAATGAGCTATCCTCTATGAGGCCCTTGGGTCAAAGGACATTACCTCTACTGATGCCACATCACTGTCCGCCACAAAAATATGAAGTGCATTATGTGACTTAGTGTAAAAAGGCTTAGTAATTGGGAATCATTCATTATTGTTGATAGCAAAAGCAACTTAAATCTCATGACAGCAATACAAAGAATAATTAGCCTATATGAGCAAAGCTATTGTTATTCTTTCTATATTGAGTTGACTACTAAGAATAACATACAAAAGAAAGAGCCATACAAAAAAAAAATGTGACTCACATTTTCATCCCTGTACCATCTTCCATGGCCATCTCGTTTCCATCCTGAAGCAGTGAATTTGAGTTCTTGCTCCTGGCGTTTTTGGAAATCTGCTTGCTCCTCTGCAAGCATTTTGGTTGCAGTTCTGTCACCAGCAAAGATTTTTCCTTTCACAGTATCTCCACTCCATTTTTCCATTGGAACACTAGGAGTAACTTGGGAATCACACAGTGAAGAATTTGATGTCCTCTCCAGATCATGAGATTTCTTGTTGGCGCTGTCGATGATAAATCTGCTGGACTGTGCTTCCAAAATAGCTTGTCTTGTCTGCTGAATCAATGGTTTTTCTTTCATATCACTAGACCTAACACCATAATGTTGCTTACCAGAACTTGAAACGGAAGCTTCTGGAGAAATAGCAAGTCTCTTGTTGATCTCTTGTTGTCTTGATAATTCTTTCTCCCTCAGCCTCGATTCTGCTGCAATGTGCCGTGAACCTTTATTATGCATCTGTTCATTTGTTGTCATTTAGAGATGAAGAAAATAATCAAAGAACACGTGGTCGCAATTTTCAACAATACAAAATGCAAAAGAGACGGATAACGAACATATCTCGGTCTAACATATATATACTCCCTAGGATCATTCAACACAAAGTTTCATGTACAACATGATGCACAGAGCGCTTTAGACCGAAGGACCAACTTGGCCCCAAGCTCTTTTCATTGGATAAGAAACTGGATCTAGAGAGCCATATCACTCGATGTTTGAAGCAAAAATAGCTGACACACACTAAAGTAACATGGACAAATGAACCAACCATACACACAGAATGCTACTGATCCAATATGTATTCATGACAATCCAGGAAATTTCACAAATAAGCTTCACGGACAAGATTTTTACATTATTCTAGACGGCAACAACTGACAACGATTGTGGCAAAGAAATTCAATACGGACAGAATAGCTCCACATCACATGACAACACAATAGCTTCACAATGCTAATCTCTTTAATCAAAACATCAAACACAATACCTCATCATACTTAACTTAAGGGAGGTACTACTGGCTTAGGACACCTACTTCTCTCATACCAATCCGAATTCTGAACCATTCTTATCAACATTTGAACCAATCTATCTTGTGACAGTTTCCTAATCCATGGTTCATTCAGACCCCAAATAAAAATCGATTGGTCAGGACTAGAAATTTAACGAGCCGGTCTTCGTGCTCACGCATAGGCAAGAACAATGTACACCATTAAGCATCTAGAATCCAAGATGCTAGAATCCAACTACGTGGTTAGGGTAAAGGAAGGCGGGGGCACAGAAGGGGATCGCTTACGGAGAGCATGAGGGGGGAGTCGAGGACGGGGCGGTGGGGGCAGACGAGGCAGGCGAACTTGCCGTTGGAGAGCCTCCTGAACGAATCGGGCGAGGACGAGGATGGGGACACTGCCGAGGCGGGGAGCATGAGGTCGTCGAGGCGGCGCTTCCGCTGCCGCGCGTCGCGCGCCCAGCTGTCGCCGCCGAACACGCTCATCTCGGCGTTCGCGTCGCCGCCGCCGCCGCCGCCGCAGTCGCCGCCGGGAACCAGGAGGAGGGGAACTCTGACCGGGCCGGATTTGCGCTCTACTTGGGCTTTAACAAGAGACTCTGAGTACGATGGGCTACATCCCGAAGTGGTCTGATTTGGCCCGGCCCATGACGCAACAATAGTACGGTTAATTGGGCTCTTCCTTTTGCACAGATTCCATTTTCTAATGGGTTAGTGAAGTAGTACTCCTCGTTTTTTAAAAAAAAAAACACTTTTTATAGGAGTGCACTCCTGCCAACTTTGCTTGCCAAAATTGGCTTGTTTTTTTAATTAAAATTTTTTGTTGTTTTACACCAAAATTTTGATTGTTTTGCACTAGAAAATTGCTTACCAAAAATTTTGATTATATCAGTGATTCAGTGAAGGAGTAATTGTTTTTGGCACATGGAAGTGAGCAAATTTCTAGGTGATTGTACAATGTGATTACTTGGATTATATTCGACCCGTGATTTTATTTGGAAGTTCCATCTATGTTCCCTCATTCTCCCTAGAGAGTTTAGCGAAAATTTAGAAGAAACTACCGTTAAACATAAGGGGAAAATAACTTGTACCCCCATCGTCTCAAAAGAATGTTGGTTTTAAGCATTTAAGTTTTTCACAAAAAAAAAGTTGATTTCTACTCCTTTTTCTTAAAATATAGCTACATTTAGCTAATTATCCAAGTACCTAGAAAGTATCTATATTTTTTGAAACAAAGAGCGTAACCACTTAATTACCCTTGTCGAATTATTAGATGAGCGTATCCCTTCAATACATTTACATCCCTCGCATCCTGCGACCACGTCGTATCTTACTTTTTTTTTTTGGAATAACTCATACCAGACAGCACAAATTCATATTGATAGAGCAGGAAAAAATCATAAGATTATAACCCTGGGAGATCGTACTCAGAAAAACGAAGAAAAAAAACCACCACCCATGCACCGACAGCACCAATACACAAACCCAGGAAAATGCTAGCACCGAACCGGCCACCGCTAAGCCAACAAAGAAACTACAGCTGGAATCGCCCAAAACCCAACCCTAACAAACGATACCAAACTTCACTCTATCCACATCTTTAGGGTTGAGGGAGAGAGGGTGAAAGAGAAGAATGGAACCGCTCTCCCCCTAGACCCTCTGACGTAGCCAACTTGCATAAACTAGGGTGCTGGCACAGAAGGACATAGTCTAGAGCGAGCTTGCACCCATTGTATGGGAGGTTTTGGCAAGGGGTTGCTTAGACAACGACTCCAGGGAGAGAAACAACGAAAGCACCGTCGCCACCGTCCATCGAGTTCTCAAAGAGAACCGAGACTAAGTTTTCACCCGGTAGCCCCACTAGAGGGGATGAGATGGTACGACAACGCCCTCAAGAGGAGAAGCGAGCTCGAAAACGCCAATGTTGCCGACCTGACCAAAACCGGGCTAGGTTTTCACTCGCCGCCTATGATTCCACACCTACACGCCATTGCTCCACCACTGGCGGCCAGCCTCCGCGTGCCGCCACACGGGCACTCTCTTTGCGCGCTCCATGCTGGACTCCTACGCACTACACTGCCAGCCACGCATCTAACGCCATGTTGGCCTATCGCCCGCCTGTCACGCCACCTTGCCACACGCCCGCCCCCCCCCCCACCTCCACGGCCTGCTCACCGCCTCACCCTCCTCAGAGGCACTGACCCACGCCTCCTCCGTGTGAGCATGCCACGGCGTCAAATCGGAGCCTCCACGTGCTCCCTTTGCCTGCCGCCTTCTCTCCTCCTCGCGTCGCCTTCGCGCTCTCAGCCCCGCTGCCCGCTCATCCTCCTCTACCCTCGCCGCCTCTCCCTCCTTAGGAACGCTGGGGCTGCCCACGCCCTATGCCTCCTCCACTCGGTCGCACCGTGGGCTGCGCCACCGTCGCAGTGGCCTCCGCCTCCTCCGTCGTAAGCGCAAACCCCTCTGGACGGCGCCATGATCTCCTCTGTCGGCACCGCGACCTCCACCGCCAGCATCGCGACCTCCTCCACCTGCACCTCAGCCTCCTCCATGGGTACCGCGACCGCCACCGTCAGAGCCATGACGTCCTTCGCTTGTACCTTGGCTTCCTTCCCGATGCGGCACGGCCAGCGCCGCTCCATCTCGATCTGGCCACGGGAGCGCCACTCCATCCCGATATGAATGCGGGGGGCCAGATCCGCTGCCGAGGGAGGTGGATCCACCTCCGGCATGGCTGGATCCGCCACGCCGACCATTCGGTCACCACCTCCCACGACCCGCTGCTACCGAGCAGCCCCCGGTGTCCCTGCCGCTGGGCTTCCTCGTGGGGGAGAGCGCCCCACCGCCGCCATCCATATGGCCCCGGCTTTGCTGACGAGCCACTCGGGCAGCGGTGAGGCGAAGGGGAGGAGGGAGGGGGCGATAGCCGCTCACTCGAATTAAAATTACTAAACAATATGTTTCGTGCGAAAACGTTCTATATAAAAGTTGTCCTAAAATATCAAATATATATATTTGTTAAGTTTGTAATAATTAAAGCTTAATTAATTACTCTCTCCATTCTAAATTGATCTGAGTATTTCATAGGTACACCAAGACCAAAAAAAGCTAATAACTCTCTCATACTATATTTACTCTAGCAGCAAACTCAATGCATGCACCATCCCCACTATTTTCTAGCCAATAGCAAATCAATATATTGCATATGGGTTATAAATATATGTGTGCATGGATGCATGCATCAATGTCCATTTACTCCAATGCACAAATAACGAATAGAACTAATAAATGAACACAAATATGTAGGTCATTTAGGAATAAACCCAAAAAAACTATATGTAGATCAATTTGGAATGGAGGGAGTATGTGCTACTCCCTCCGGTTCTATTTTAATTGACGTTTTGGACAATGACACGGTCTACAAGATATATCTTTGATCTTACTTTTCTATTATAGTATATATAATAAATAAATGCATGTTTATTTTTATTATAGTACTTTAAAAGATAAATCTGTATATGTTGTTCTAGTTCCTTTAAACTAAATATTTTTAAAGGTATTGATGATTAAAGTTATAAAAATTTGACCTCAAACTTGTTCAAAACGTCAATTAATATCGAACCGGAGGGAGTAATAGCTTTCTCATGTGCGTCAGCTTAATTTTCTTCTTCATTTATGGAGTCGTAAATCTATGTGTGTGGACGTAGCAGTTCATGTTCATGCTCTGTTCCGAGTCCTGTGACACGAAGATCGAAACAAAAACACAAATCGAGGACGCCAACTAAAATTGCTGGGCGCACCCGCAAACCCCACTACCACCACCGGGCCCCTCTTCGTCCTCCTCCGTTCCATCTCCTTCTCTTCTCTTTCCCAGCAGAATCCCAGTCAAAATCCCCCGTGTCCTCCCCCCCTACGGCGGCGAGGCGAGGCGACGCGACGCCATGGATCCCGCCGCCGCGCGGCGCAAGGCCGAGCGGTGGATAGGCGTGGCGGAGAAGCTCCTGATGGCGCGGGACCTCGAGGGGTGCAAGCAGTTCGTCTCCCAGGCGCGCGCCGACGACCCGACCGTCCCCGGCGCCGACGACCTGGCCGCCGCCGCGGACATCCTGCTCTCCGCGCAGCGGCGGCGCCTCGCGACGGGGGCGCCCAACCCGTACGCCGTCCTGGGGCTCGACTGCGCCGACCCCGCGTCCCGCGACCCCGACGTCGTCCACTCCGCCTACCGCCGCCTCTCCCTCCTCCTCAACCGCTCCCACCCCGACCGCCCCTGCTTGCATGCCTTCGCCGACGCCGCCCGCCTCGTCGCCGAGGCGTGGGCGTTCCTGTTCGACCCTGTCCGCAAGGCCTCCCTCGACTCCAGCCTCGACGCCGCAGCCGCCGCGGCGGCACCTCGCCCGCCTCCCGCTCCCTCTCCACAGAAGCAGCAGCCGCAGCCGCAGCCGCGGTCACCGCGGCCAGCCTCGCCACCGCCTGTTCCCGCGGCACCGGAGGTGGCCTCGGCGGTGTCGACGCCGCCGGCGCGGCCAAAGCGCGGGCGGCCGCCACGCGCCGCTAAACCCCAACCGACGCCGGAGCGGCAGCAGGAGGCGGAGGTGGAGGCGGCGGCGACGTTCTGGACGGCCTGCCCGTCCTGCTGCAACCTGCACGAGTACACCCGCTCCTACGAGGCGCGCACGCTGCTCTGCCCCAGCTGCCGCAAGCCGTTCTTCGCCGCGGCAATGGCCACGCCGCCGCCCATCGTGCCGGGCACCGACATGTACTACTGCTCATGGGGCTTCTTCCCGATGGGATTCCCCGGTGGCCCTGCGTTCGCTCGACCAACCAGTTCTTCTTCTTCTTCTTCTTCTTCTTCTTCTTCTTCTTCTTCTTCGCCGACGAAGCAAGCACCGGCTGCTCTGGGATTCTATCCAATGGGACCCTACTCCCTGCCATTGCCAGCTCAAGGCGACGCTGCCGAGGGCAATGCAGCAGTTGGTTCCGGTGATGGCACAGTGACAGCGCCGTCGCCGCCGCCGCCGCCGCCGGCGGCAGCGCCATTGCCGGTGAAGCCCAAACTTGTAAAGCTTGGGGCAAGGAAGCGAGGGAGGCCCAAAAGCAGTAAGAACAAGCATGTGGTGATCGAGATCAATTAGAATGTTTTTTTGGCAAATTTTGCTCTTCGCCAAACTCATGGTTCTGAATGTGCACGATAGATTCTTTGTTTGCTGATGAGAGGGGCAAAAATGGGGTGAAAATGAAGAGAGATTGGATCTTCTACAAGAACAGCAATTTTGGTGATGAACAATTTTCCTCTTCTTTCAGTTGGAAAGTTGGTTCTCATTAGATGGTTAGATTCTGTGTGTTGTGCCATGCCACCTCGAGCGCAAGATTTGTTGTTGTAAATTGTAAGATTATCAGATGGGTTGTTGGTAGTGCCAAATGTACATTACTTTAGGATGATGCAACTTAATCTTTATCTTCAGGAGAAAAAAAACACCACCTTAGATGACAACCTAATATTTCATCTACAATCTCATATATGGTCTACTAAATTTATTTTTCTAGACATGGTTTGTCAAACCAGTTGTTAATAACTAATATTACTCCTAACTCGATTGTTAAAAAAACATATTAAAAATTATTTAGTAATTCCCGCAGCACTTGGGAATCAACTAGTTTCTATACAGTTCAAACCATATATTGCTCAATAATTATAAAGCTTTTACTTCCATAAATATAAATATAAGAGATTCTAATGTTTAAATTTCATTCACAAATATAGAAGATACTATAGTATTATTTCTCCCACTCAATCACTCTATAGGCTCTAATCGACAACACTGCTCTTCAGCTGTAACCAGCTATGCTATAGCCGATGTATATATTTTCTTTACCATGCACTGTAGTGGCTGCTGCTGTGCAGCTACAATTTAGCTACACCGAACATACCCATATTTATTTTCTCCCTATTTTACCCTAACAACCCTTCCCTCACCCACCCATTAATTAATGAGGGCGTCATAGTTATTCTCTTTATTCTCAAGCCCTCTTTGATTTTCTAGCAAAAACATATAAATTTGGAGGGTTTCAATACTACAGAAAAAATTTCTATCAAGGTTTTTTATATAAAGGAGTGAAGCATATACTCTCTTGCTCTTGAAATTACTATAGAATGGGTGATCTTATAGAGATTTTATAGGAAAATTAGCAAAAGCTCCATCCTCTTGAAAATTTTTCTTTGATCTATATCTCCCATCCGATTATTACTTTTTATACGGTCTATTCAAACAGTCATTTATATTTCTTTTTGTTTCACAATACTCTATTTTGGATTTATATTCCTATCAAAATCGTGTTTTTTTCAACTGCTCCATTTTTTCAATTCCAAGTTTGAAAAGAACTAAATCTCTTTAGTAACCCTAGGCATAGCTATAAGCTTTTGAATTGAGGTCCTCTGGTGTGAAGTCACATGGACATGATCACTGATTATGTGGGTCACTGGGGATGAAAACGGAGCGGATAGTTTCTATCCACTCCGGAGAAAAACAAATACATATACCTTTCGGAGCGAAAACTCTCAAATAGTTCATATACGGATGCGAATGAATGGTGCTATTCAAATGTTCGCTGAAGAGATAAAAGACATACCCCATTTCTTTATAACTTTACGACATTCAATATACCTTTTTAGATTTTAATAGTTGCCCATCTCTTAACACTTGTCCACACTATTAATATTATTTAAACCTTTAAATATTTTGTAAATTATACAATATTTCATATAAAATGGTCTAATTATATATGATGATATTTGTTTCTATTAGAAGTTAAGGTGGTTTCCGTGTTCCGAGAAAAAATTGTTTCCATATTCGTGTATGATCATATTCGATCATTTTCCTATTCGAGATATTTCGTATTTGTTTCTATATCCGAGCTATTCGCATTCGTTTTCTTAACTAGCAAAAAAACTGAAAACAAATATGGTATGAGCATTGTCCATCCGTATCCACTCTGTTTTCATACCACGTCGGTGGATAACCGCTATTTTCTTTTTCCATTTTCTTTTTCCCTCCGACATTTGGATAACCGCTAGATTCAGCAAGAAGGAGCCCGGATCTAGCGTCTTCGTTCTTTGTCGGGGCAGCTCCTGCGTCCCAGAGCCCCTGCAAGCCCGATATCCCTGACCACAACAACAACAACAACCATAACAAATAGTGTGTATGACGATATGGGAGGAGAAAAAGACATGTCGGTTACTATAGGTGCATGTGAAGGCGGAGAGGAGGAACTATGGTGGCTCATGGAGAAAGAGTAGTGATGGTGGCTCATGGAGAAAGAGTTTGTTGTCGATACAATCGCTAACCGAGTTTGTTATTTTTTTTAAGTATTGATAATACATGGGCCACCAGTCATCGTAAAGAAAGAAATACTAATAGCTACTCTTTCCGTTTCATATTATAAATCATTTGAATTTTTTCTTATTCAAGTTTGACCGGTTTATAAAAATATATATTAATATTTTTTTTAAAAACGTATTATTAAAATATATTCAATGTTAGATTCTACTCCCTCCATACTCACATAGGAAGTCGTTTAGGACAACGACACGGTTTCCAAAACATAACTTTAACTTCTTGTTTCTAATAAAATATTTATTAAAAAGTTATATATGTAGAGCCTGTTTGGTACAGCTCCAACTCCTAAATTTTGCTCAACATAACTTTAACTTCTTGTTTCTAATAAAATATTTATTAAAAAGTGATATATGTAGAGCCTGTTTGGTACAGCTCCAACTCCTAAATTTTGCTCGAGGAGATAGGTCTGGAGTGGAGTTGTGGAGCTGCCTAAACCCAGCTCCACAACTCTAGTTCATTTTATGAGAGGGCTCCACCCAGCTCTACTGCCAGTTTTGGTGGAGCTGAAACTGTTTGGCTGAGCTCCAACTCCAGGAGGGGTGGAGCTGGAGCTGGAGCTGTGCCAAATAGACCCGTATAATTTGATGAAAGTATTTTTCAAGACAAATCTATTCATATAATTTTTACATTTTCAAACTCAAGTTCACAATAACTTGAGAGTTATTTATGATTTATATTTCTAAGGTTTGACTTAAACATTATCCTAAACGACTTTTTTTATAAGTACTGAGGGGTATGAACTAGTTTGGCATTTTAGATGCTGTTAATTTTTTCTATAAATTTGTATAATTTTAGATGCAGCATAATACGACGAAACAGAGGGAGTAGTTCGAAGGTGTAGTAGTCGCGTGTCGCGAAATGTCCCGTCTCGTTGTCTCCTCTGCTCCTTGCGCCGCCGCCAAGGCGAGTCGCGGCTGAGCCGGGAGGGGGCGGCGATCTCCATTTGGCGAGCAGAGCAGGGGAGGGGATTCTGGTGAGCATCCACATCCTCTTTCTGATTCATCTCTCTCCCACCGGGACTACTGTTGTCTGGAATTTGCTTTGCGTTAACCCTAGCTTCTCTTCTAGATCTGGAAGAACCTCTTCTCCTCCTTAAACCTCTCAAAAGTTTGGGGGTTCAACTGAACCCCCCCATGTCCAAAGTTGGATCCGCCCCTGCTTGTGGACAGTCTCTATAACAGTTTTTTTTTCTTCTTACTCTGTGCTGGTGCAGGTCTGAACTGATCATCATGGTGAAAGAACATGCAGAGAAAGGAGATGGCGTTCAAGAATGCCAATCGTCTCCTGCGCTTTCAGAAGATAACTTGAGGCACAGTTTCCGATTGGGAGATATTACATGGGTTAAGCACACTGGCTCGTGGTGGCCAGCACAGGTACGATTGCATACATCTTCCGAGCTTTAACTTTGAATGCACAAAGTATCGTTCTTTCATAAGATGATGAGATATTTTCAGTGAACGGTGCATTAGGCAGGCTATATTCTAAATCGTAAAATATTAATGTTGGCTGGGATAATAGATTGACATTTGTAGATATATGGAATTGGCATGAACTTCTTTTTGAAGTTCAGATGATGCAGAAGCTAAGAAGTGGACTTTTGCTGACTGCTACTTTGTCCATGATCCTAGTTTTCCCATGTGTATATTTACACTGGTTTTGTTTTGTTTTTTTTTTTCCTCTGAATTCAAGGTCGTTGAAAATTCATGTATCAGCAGCAAGCCTAAGAAGACGGCCAAGCATCATGTTCCAGTTCGTTTGTATGGCACTTGTGTACAGTAAGGGATCTTATTAATGCGCTATGCCTTCTTTTCTTTCCATGATATTCTGGTGACAAAAGTTTATTTCTTTTACTATTTTCAGCATGTACGTAGACCCTTGGAAGTCTAACATGGAATTCAAAATGGTATGCACAATATCTATTTATAAGGATACTGATATATTGTCATTGCTCCCGTGCCACTCATTGTAGATTTAGAAAGAAAGTGCCTCTGACACAGTTGACCATGAATTCCATAACTCACAGTCATCCTCCCTTTCTCCTTTGATGTTCCCCTCACTTTAAACCTCTCAAGTAAAAAACTTCCAAATTGAACAACTTGACTCCCAACTGCATTTCAAACTTTGAACCATAAAATTCCCAATATTATAAACCATGGTTCAAACTTTAAACTATGAAAATAAAACAAATTTCAACTGCAAATAACAACTTTCAATTAAACAACACAATTGCTTTCAAATCAACACTTTGAATGCTTCAGGCATGACATCAGATCTAAGGGCAGCGGCAGCACGTGCTGGATCCGCTAGTAGCAGCATGGCAGTGGAGTTAAAAAAATGTGCCAGATCAAGTGTGAGAATGGAGTGAATGGGGGAGAGAATGAAGAAGTGAAAGGAGATTTTCACATGGTCGCAAATAACTTAGCTGCCTCTAAATCATAGTTGGCCTGTTCTAAATTTCTACTCCCTCTGACAGATATCCAAGGCAACCATGATATCACTAGGTGCTTTCTTGGCTGGTTGTTGGCTTATAAGCAACAGCCAGAATTTGAATTCTAGAACTTAATTTTAGAGTTGATTTGGGTTTTTGTAATTGTTTTCTATTTTTCAGCCTTGTCTTTTGGACTGCTAAGAAAGTAAGAATAGAAATATAAAAGTCTTACCCTAAAATTATATTTGATTGCTTCGTTTATTTTCTTCGGCTTACCAGGTTATCACTGCAGAATGATAACATAAACCAGTTTAGAATGGTTATAATACAACTGCTTGAAAAAGCTGGTTTGGGCTTTCAAACTTTTAAAAAAATCTGTGCCATTTATCTTTTCTCTTGGAAGAAAATGAATCATATCGATATTCATTTTATATTTCACATATGAGCTCATCGCATGCAGATGCTGAAGCGAGAGAATAAAAGTGCAATGGAAGCATTCCATGAGGCCGTTAAGAAGGTACGACAGTCACCTTTGCATAATTGCATCACATATGTTAAGATGTAACTATGTTTAGCTGCTGAAAACATCCCATAATGCAGGAGCTGTCCCACGTTAATTCACCTTGCGATTCTACTGAAGAAGCTGGCAACTTGAAAGGTGAGTTTCTGTTTTTACCTGAAGATATATATCACATATACAAGTTTTTTTTTACTCAGCTTTTTAGTGGTTATGGATAATGATTTGATCATTCGTTCAATCCCTTATTCGCTCTTTATTACTAGAGAATTTTTGTTCTTCTGCCATCCAGAATTTACCCCTCTTGCTACTACTGTCAGTTAGACTTTGAGTTTGTAAAATGACCATTCCAACCCTGCCTCAAAGCTAACCGTTGTAGACCTTCTGTCAGTGGGAGAAAATATCTAGGTGGATGACTGGATAACTGGATGACACAGTGAGGTTTATAAAACTGATATATGGGTCACATTGTCAGTAACTCATTGTTGAGGCATGTTAGTCTTTATTGGAATCGAGAACATTTGAACAAGCAGTAGTGGAAAACAGAAAAGAGCCATATGGCGATACTAACAATAGATAGAGCAGAATTTGGATGACAGAAGAAAGAATAGCTATTTTACTAGTAAAAAATAAGAAATTATATGTCAACAATGCTCTTTTTCTGTTAATAAAATCCTTGCAATGGTGGTATTAAGAAGTAGTATGGAGCAGCATCACTTTGAAGGTAATTGATATACATGATCTTCAAAGTTCAAACATCACATAATATCAAATATTGCTCAATTGGATATGACGAACATAACATGCAAATGTACTCTTTTTCTATGAAACAAAAGGATTTTTTTTGCTTGGTGAAATGCAAGCATGTATAAGTTTAAAACTGTCATTAATTTTGATGATATCAAGTGGGTTCTACAGACAACATGTCAATGGCACATTGGTATTATTTCCTGACTCATGCCATCTATTTAGTATTAATCCATTTGCCCCTAATTTTGCTTCTTTACTATGTACCTAAATTTATTTTCCTGATGGTGTGACTGAATTGGACACAGCCAAGACCTCTTCCAAGAAAGTCAGAAAGCAAAAGGGCTTAAAGGAATCACCAGCCTCTGAGCATATGGGAGAGGATACAAAAGACCAGCATAGTGCAGAGCAGCACCAAGAACTTGGATATACTGCAACAACTGGAGTTGCCACTCGTAAAGGAAGAAGAACGCGAGAAGGTGCAAGACAACTCAGTCCTACTGATGGTGAAGATCAAGCCAGTGGTAAAAAAGCTTCTATTGAGGGTTCAAGTTATAAGACAGAAAAACAAGTTGGTTCTGTATATGATGAAGAGGCTTGTAAGATGACAACGACAGAGAGATCAGTGGGTAGAAGGGAAGGACTGAGACGATCTGCTTGTACACCCATGAAGGCATATTTAGATCCATCGGAGGATAGAACATCACTTTTCAGTGATACAAGTGCAAGTGAAGGTGCAAATGAAGTAAATAGAACACCAGAGAATTCAAATCAGCATGAAGATGATTCAACCATAGATGGAACTTTGGCTTCTCATGCAGAAATAAGGGTTATGGTTAGGGATATACTGTTCAGTGACATTATTGCCAAGCAGCATGCTGCTGAGATGGCATATGTAGATGAAGTGATCAATGGCATTTGCTGCGCTAGTGAATTGAACATAACTGGTGATCCTACTCCTGTTGCAAAGGGTGGACGAGGCATCAAACGAGGTGGTAGTAGGGCAGAGGCGGAGTCAAGTAACATTACACAGAGATCTAGAAAAGGGAGAATAGATCAAGCAAGTAGCAATGGAAAGAAAAGAGCTAAGGACACCTCAGAAACCATGAATCATGACAACAGTCCCAACTCTTTGAGAGGGCCTTTCGATAGTACTGTAAGTAGATTCCCTTGCCCACGCCCATACTTCTAAACCTTACTATCTCAAATTTCAACACTAATTTGACCAAAATCCACCAGAGCAGGGATGCAGCCATGGAGGAACTGGGGCAAGTTAGCGCGCGTCAAATCAGGATCATGCAGAGTCTTGCTTTGATTGCTCCGTCAGGATCCCCGTTTGGCAAAAATGGACTGGTTGCATCAACCAGTTTATAATTCTGAGTTAATTCGAATATCCTTGAAAGGTATTCGACAGATATTCGAAAGCTATCATAACTCATGAACTCAGCTTCGGTTACACCTAACCAGTTGCTCGCTTAGGTCTTTTGGAGAAACCCACAACGCTACATGGTCTTCTAGAATGCAATGCGATTGCCTTTATGTGTAGTAGAATCGACTGAATTTAATTGCAATGTGAGCACAACATTGTATCTGTAAGGCCACAAAATGGTCCCAGTATACTGCCAACTGAATTCATACATGAGTACACTATTATTATGTTAGTACTAGTACCAAGTTAAGGCTCAATTATTCTCTTTATCTTAAGATATCAGAATGCGCCACCGTTTGAATTGAGGCCCCCTATTGCAATGTTCGTAGTGATTTAAATAGCAATGAAAAAACTTTAAAATTAAGTTTTAAAATTTCAATTTTGGCGATGGTTGATTTCATACAAGGGGAACTATGGGGCCTGAAACTTTGGTGCCAATAATGCATTGGCCTACTGGTAAAGTTAAACAGTGTATGTAACAGCTTGCTACAGCAAGGTTACCAGTGTTGACCATTGCAGAATTGCAGGTTAGAGTTAAACTTGAGCTTGGAGGTGACGACTTTAAACCTTGGAGCAGTATTTACTCTTGTCTGCCTTGGAGGTGACCAACAGAGGACTGATGGATGGACTGAAAATCTTCTTTCTTTGAGAAGTTTTAGGTGCCGGTGAAGAACGTCAGAGGGACTGTTTCATCTTCATGAAGAACAATACGCATCTGAGAGCCTGTCGGCATTGACATGACGTCACGTCTGCAGATGATTCCTTCCCTGAACGATCAAGATAAACAAGGTTCCCTGTTGGCTGCATGGCGATTGTCAGCCCAGGTCTCCTCCCGAGAACATTCCAAGTGCTCATCACCTAACGGCCCGTTGGGTTGGAGGGAGTTTTTAGGAGGGATTGAGAGTTTAGAGGGATGAGGCTATTAACTGTATTGTTTGGTTGGGAGACATGGGAATTTTGGTGGGATAGGGATGGGGAATTGAGGAATGAACTCCCTCCTTTTCAATACCTGGGTAGGGGGTGGGAATTGGGAGGGAATTCCTCCTTTACTTCGCCTAAACAAATCTCAGCCATCCGTTTTCATTAATGACCTAATCTTCAACTAAACTCCCTATCAATTTCCACCACCTCTATCAAACAAGAGACTGGGATGAAAAATCAAATTCCCATCTTAATCTCACCATCAATTCTCTCGTGTAAACTCCTAATCCCCTTCCCTCATGTTGCCAAACAAGCCGAAGCTCTAGAAAATGTATGCAAAATTAGGGAAAAAAAGTATGGCATAACCCTTAAAGATAAATAAATGAACGGAGCCATCACGATATAAGCGAAATGATATATTTGCAAACGAAAAGTAATTTGTGAATAAAATTTTTATATACGTGTTCTTAGTTATCTAAAAGCATAGGCTGAAAAATAAACTTCAATGAAAAAACCTCAAAATTAGCTCCAAATTTAAGGTTGAAAATTTAAATTTTGGCTGATAAACATAAGCATAAGCGAAAATATGAGGTTAGAAAATTTGATCCATATTAAGAGAAAAAAAATTATGTATAGTGAAGTTTTGATCTCGTCCACCTTTTTCACAATGTGATGTGAGAAGAGCTTCATGCTTAACAAAAGAGAATGAAGAACAATGTGAATATATACTAGCAGAGCTGGATCCAGTGTGGGTGCCACCCTACCTCGCTAGATCACCATTGATAGAACTAGAGAGGGAAGGGGGAAGAAGAGGGAGAGAAGGAAGAGGGGAGGGGAGGGCACTAAAGGAGGAGGAAGGAGATGAGTTTCTCTCTAATTTTATTTTGGATCCGTCTTTATACACGAGCACATACATGAAGATACATAGTAACTTCTATTGGTAGCATGTTTTACCTATCAAGGTCTCGTTTGAAATACATGCAACTTTTTTTTTGACGTAATACCTGGAACCTCTTTAATATCACACGGCTTAAACTAGCTCTTGTATGATCCTTCACAAATCAGAACTACAAAATTACCGTGTTCCAAAGGATGTCCCAAAGTATTTCGAAATTTGTAGTACCACCACATTAAATTCCAGGAAAAAAGCTAGATTACTCCCAAAGCACATTTGTTATGAATCACAAAACGGGGTGCGTTTTTATGAGAAAGATGTAAGCCTTTGCTGCCTGGACAGGGAAGAAGAAAGAAAGAAAGGGCAAACCAAAAAAGTAAAAAGTGAGTGAAATGGTCTGCATACGCATCATGAAGCTTGACCTGTCACTGCCTTCTCTCCTCTGCTTTCGATTGCGTTTTGTAAACCAAAGGGGTGGTAGTACTGAAGCTGCCGCGTCGCGAGGGGACACGCCATAAAGGCCACGGTTAACTTGTCCCTTGTCTCGGTTTAACCGGAGAGGAGAGTGAGGTCGCCATGGTGAAAAAAAGCTGCGGCCCATCCGGCATTTCTCCTTTTTGTTTGATATTACAAGGTAGAATCACAGGCGCACACACCACTATACGCGCAACATCACACTGACATCCTATAAATGTGTCCCCTAACACATGCTATAAGATGTGAAAACCAGCTATATATTTCTGATCTTACTAAAGTTCCGTTGAAAACCAACATATACATGCTTAATATTCGTGGAGATTTTAACATAGTAGCAGAGTCATGTATCACTTAGTGCTTCCCCGGCTCCATCCGGCATTTCACTGGAGCGATGCCGGTGAAATGGCACCAGATAAAAAGGCTCAGCTGGAGAGAGTTTTTTTACCACTGTTTGGGGGTATGCAAAGCCCTGTGCCGCTTGTCTTCGACATCATGAGTTTCCTTCTTACTCTCTCAGTTTTAAAATGTTTGACACCGTTGATTTTTTAAGCACATGTTTGACCGTTTGTCTTATTAAAAAAATTTATGAAATATATAAAACCATATGTGTACATGAAAATATATTTAACAATGAATCAAATGATATGAAAAGAATAAATAATTAAAAAGTCGACGGTGTCAAATATTTTAAAACGGAGGGATTATATTTGTGCCAGAGAGGCTTCGAATGACTACACACGGCCCTGCTGCATGAAGCAGTAGGTATCGTCGTTTGGGTATCATGGGCAAAAATAGCGGTAGTGTGTGTAAAAAAAAGTTTGATTCGTCTTTAATTAGGCTGTGTTTAGATTGATGGTAAAAAATTTTAAGTCACGTCAAATATACGGACATACATTTAAAGTATTAAACGTAGTCTAATAACAAAATAAATTACAGAATCTATCTGTAAACTGCAAGACGAATTTATTAAGCCTAATTAATCTATCATTAGCAAATATTTATTGTAGCACCACATTATTAAATTATGGAGCAATTAGGCTTAAAAGATTTGTCTCGCAATTTACATGCAATCTTTGTAATTAATTTTTTAGTCTATATTTAATACTTCATGTAGGTGTTCAAACGTTCGATGTAATAGAGTGAAAAATTTTAGGGTGGGATCTAAACAGGGCCTTAGACTTGTTATAAAGTTCTGATTGATGGTAGATAAAAAATAATTTATGATAATTGTTTGAATGCACGTACGAATAAACTAAATGATAGAAAGTTGAAAAGGTTATTTTCTAAAAGTTTTCAAAGAAATGCTAATGAAATGGAGTATTAGAAAGTTGATTAGGAGCTTGGAAAGCATGCCAACGATAATCCATTATCTGTTACTAGTTCTAAAGAATAGGCCTTAAGTGGGTGTAGTGGTCTTTATTCTTTTTCTAGTCGAGTATTTGACAATGCACAACTGAGTTTATGGACGATCTAAAATATACTGCTTCAGATAAACTTATGTATCTACGTTTTCCTTCTTCCATCGGTCTACCTCTTCTTTTCTTCATGGCCACTTTTGTAGTCTCCGGTAAGGAACGATTGTATGCCGAAAGCTTCTAAACCCTGGAGCGATGAGCATGTTGCAATGGCAACGTAGTATAGAATGGGTGTTCTCATAGCAGCTTGGCACAATCCAACCGATGTCAACATAGATGAGCTCGCAGTGGTTAATACTACGGGTCCTTCGAATCACAAGAATAAAAAAACAGAAAAATAGAAAAAAAATCTAAGAATCTGACAGGAATATAAGTGTAAAGTAGATAATTGCAAACCACAGAAATCTAATAAGAGAGATATATTAAAATGAAAATTTTTCAAAATGTTGGAGCTCTTTCTAAGTTTATTTCAAATTCTATAGGCAATGAACCATTCCATACGAATTTCATAGGATTTGGAAAACCCCATTCCTTTGTATCTAAGGAGCAAAAAAGAAAATTTATTGAATCCTATAAAATTCAAAGATACCCTACATGGACTAGGGACGAAAACAGTCGAAAACGATATCATTTTCTTGAAACGACATTGGTACGGTCAGGAAAGTGAGTTGACACAAACAAATTCTATCCAAATAGCATGTCTCTAAATACTAGGTGTTCTAACAGAGGGAAAATGATCTAATAGTATAATGTGGATTGTTTTATAAAATTAGTGACATACCAATATTACTATACTATGTAGTAAAGGCCAAACTTAGACAAAAAGTCATATTTATATTTTATATAACAAACATTTTATTAGATAAATGAAATTGTACCATACTTCTATTGTGTGTACCATATCCACATATTTATTTATTGAACCGATGTACAGGAGTATACTTTGTGTTAAAAAAATCCAATTTTAAAGATTAATCTAGACACGTATTGTTAGAATTTGATTTTCTTTTTATAGAGGGAGTAAGGTTTAAGGGGACTGCCTCATTCATCTTTTTTTTTTAACAAATGACTGTTGACTGCCCCTATCGTGATAAACATCCATGAGAAGGACTTAATTAACTACGGTGCACTGTTGGGATAAAATCCATGGATCGGCCGACGCGCGCTTTTGACCGAGGGCAGCCGACAAATAACGTTCAAAGGAGGGTCCGGTAAAGAGGAGGGCATCCCCAGCAGGAATTCTGATGAAAATCCCCATTCCCCAAAGGCTGCCATCCCCTGACACCTCCCTCCGATCATCCCAGCCTCCATGTCCCTCCCCTGTCCCCCCCCCCCCCCCCCCTTCTTCCTCTTTGGTTGCGTCTTGCGTCGCCCAACCCAATCCACCCCTAAAGCTTAATTTAGAGTTAACATAAAGCTTAATTTAGGGCATGTTTAGATACACTGGTAAAATTTTCACCCTATCACATCAAATATCTGGACGCATGTATTGAGCATTAAATATAAATGAAAAAAATAACTAATTATATAGTTTGCGTGTAAATTACGAGACAAATCTTTTAAGCCTAATTGCTTCATGATTTGACAATGTGGTACTACAGTAAACATTTACTAATGATGGATTAATTAGACTTAATAAATTTATCTCGCGGTTTTTTGGCGGAATCTGTAATTTGTTTTGTTATTAGACTACGTTTAATACTTTAAATGTATATCCGTATATCTTATGTGACAACCAAATCTAAAAAATTTTCTCCAACTAAACAAGGCGATAGCATCTATAATTTGCTTGGAAGCATATGTATAATTAGTTCTTTTATATTCTTATATAAGAGCTAACATTTATCATTTTCATTTTTTTTCTCTCCTCCACCTGAGTATATATAGTTATCTTATAGCCTACTTCCTCTATCTAAAATAGGATTTTGGACGGATAGGACATTTCACATGAATTCTCTAAAATATCTCATCCGTCCAAAATTTCTTATATTTTAGGAAGGATGGAGTCCTATTAAACTTAATCTTACATACTCTTTTCAACTTGGTAACTGAGTATATATGAAGTTGTTTAGATTTACATCATTTCAAACCATACCATTTTTAAGTACAATTGCCAAATATGAGCATCAATTTAGTTTATTGCCAAACTTTACTAAATACATAAGAAATCTTACCAGAATTTGGAAAGTTATATTTTGGATACAATCTGAACCTTCTCTTTATTTCAAAATAAATATAGCTGTGCAGTTAAAATTTAAACTAAATAACTAAGCCCGAGTTTAGTTTCAAACTTTTTCTTCAAACTTTCAACTTTTCCATCACATCAAAACTTTCCCACACATATAAATTTATAATTTTTCCATCACATCGTTTTAATTTCAACAAAATTTCTAATTTTGACGTGAACTAAAAACAGCCTAACCTTAACCTTATTTTGGTTGTGTTTAGTTCAGCGCAAAATTTAGATTTTGGTTGAAATTGGAGATGATGTGACTGAAAAATTATGTGTATATGACAGGTTGATGTGATGGAAAAAGACTGAACTTTGTATCAAACTTTAAATCTAAACACAGCCTTTGAAACGGAGGCAGCACACATCGGTCGTTCGATCCGCCAAGTGAAACGCGCCAAAACAGCCGTCGTCCCGACCAAAAGAGTAGCTTCCCGTGTCGGCGCCCCCCGCCCCCCCGTATACATATACCCCTCCCGCCCTCTTTCCCGCCTCCTCTCTTTTAAACCCCACGACAACCACCTCGCTTGCCATTCTGGACTGCGGGTGAGATCGATGGTGACGGACGGGGAGTGCTCGGCGGCGGCGGTGAGGAAGGGTGGGTCGCCGGCGGTGCGGAGCCACAGCGAGGCGGAGCGGAAGCGGCGGCAGCGCATCAACGCCCACCTCGCCACGCTCCGCACCCTCGTCCCCTCCGCCTCCCGGGTACGTACGAGATCGAGACATCCACGACGCCCACGATGGCGTGTGTGCGTGCGTGCGTGCGTCTGACGAGGTTGGTGTGCGTGCGTGCGTGCAGATGGACAAGGCGGCGCTGCTGGGGGAGGTGGTGCGGCACGTGCGGGAGCTGCGGTGCAGGGCGGACGACGCCACGGAGGGCGCCGACGTCGTCGTCCCCGGGGAAGGCGACGAGGTCGGCGTCGAGGACGAGGACGACGACGAGGGCGAGCGCGACGAGGGGTGTTATGTCGTCGGCGGCGGCGACAGGCGGTGGCGGCGGCGCGTCAGGGCGTGGGTGTGCTGCGCCGACAGGCCGGGGCTCATGTCCGACCTGGGCCGCGCCGTGCGCTCCGTCAGCGCGCGCCCCGTGCGCGCCGAGGTCGCCACCGTCGGCGGGAGGACGCGCAGCGTCCTGGAGCTCGACGTCGTCGTCGCCTCCGACGCCGCCGACAACGACAGGGCCGTCGCGCTCTCCGCCCTCCGCGCCGCCCTCCGCACCGTGCTTCTCAACCGCGAGGAGCTCCTCGCCGCCGCCGCCGCCGCCGCCACCGACGGCTACAAGCGGCCACGCTTCTCGCCGAGGTGTAGCAGCCTAACCTAAGCTTCGCTACTACTCGCCGTACGTACGTACGCGGCAAAACGAATCTAAGCTAAGCTAGGGGAACAATGCGATGCTGATACACTACTACCGGTTTCGTGTCACAACTAGCTTGGTGTTTTTTTGTTTGTTTGTATTCCCTCCATCTCAATATATAAGAGATTTCGAAGTAATACGATATATCCTCTGTTTCATATTATAAGATTTTCTAGCATTATCCACGTTCTCATATATATATATATATATATATATATATATATATATATGAATGAATGAATGTGGTTAATATGTTAGAAAGTCTTATAACCTGAAACGGAGGGAGCAGTATTATAAATCTGGACAAATTTTCTTTCTAGATTCGTAATACTAATATGTATCATATTCTTCTAAAATCTCTTATATTATGTAACGGAGGGGTACTGCGTGTCATTTTTCCTTGCTGCTTGCCTGCATGGTACTAGTAGGCTGGTAATTGTACTTGGCAACCAGTATCGTCACGTAGACTTTGTCAGGTATACTGTTGCACGGTTGCAGTGTTGCGAAGTTGCAACAGTGGAGATGTGTGGCACTGGTGCACTTTTTGTCCACCAGTACTTCAGTAGTTTCAGTATTGGCTCTACTGCAGATCACATGAATCCCTTCGTGTTTTGCCGGCAGTAGGGGCCAGTGTGCTGTACTTCTACAAGTCTACAACACGACAGGGCTTGCTCCTGCTGCTCCGGAGTTAATACATGCAGGAAATGAAATAGTAGAAGCAAAGGTCTAAATGCAGGGCTTAGTTCACATTCATTTCAAACCATGTCATTTTCTAGTAAAATTATCGAATATGTTCATCCATTTAGTTTCTTAACAAACTCTGGTAAATAAATAAGAAATTAATCTTGCCAAAACTTGCAATATTACCAAATTGCAAAAATTTTAGCATTGATAAGGTTTATTTTAGCTACAATCTGAACATGCCCGCAATGTTGCAACTGCACGTGCAAAGTCGTGGTATCTGATAGAAATTGAATGTTGAGGAATCATTACAGCTCCCCCTCTAAGTAATTTTTAGAAGCAGAGAGACAATTTCACTCTATATTATCTAGGATCCTGAAAGCATTTGGATACTCCATCCCAATTTCAAGATTTTCGAGATTTTCCCAAAATAATCATCTAACAAAGTATCTCTTGGTTTATTTGTGCTAAAAGTAAATGTGTATCATGGAATGTCCTGCATGCACGCGTGCAACCAATCAATTAATTTATATTGGTTTAATCCATGCAACATTTAAAGTGTGAATTAATTTTCGTTGAACACAAAGTGACGGAGCACCTTGATCAATGAGGATTAATTCCTTGGTCTTGATGTCATTTGCTTAGAGGATGATCAAATTGGGATGGAGAGAATATTATTTAGGATCTAAAAGTGTTTGGTACAGCATCAATTCTACAGGATAAAAATAGCGAGTAAGGATCTCGAAGAATATTATTTAGGATCTAAAAGTGTTTGGTACAGCATCAATTCTACAGGATAAAAATAGCGAGTAAGGATCTCGAAAGCGTTTGGTACAGTTCCAACTTCACGGGACAAAGAATATCGGGGTAGGAGATGTATCAAAATGTCATTGGAATGGTTTAAGTGGAAGCCCAGAACATTGCTGGCACCATTTCTCTTCGTTTCTCTATGTATGACGTTTAGCTTGAAGTCTACTGTTAATCTTCCACATAGCACCCAGTTGAACCAAACCAGAAGAGCCCCTTAGGAAATGCATGGACTTGCCAGACTTGTGATGAGCATTGCAGAGAGCTCGAAAAGTTCAGAATGAAGAAAGGCATATATACCAAGAAGGCGAGAACTTATGACTATCCCACACCTAACGAGTGAACAATGTGGCCAAAATGATGCTGGGATGTCTAAACTCAGAAGTTCAGAACAAACCCAACTACCCTGCCAGACTGCCACACCATCAGTTCAAGCCAGAATTTTCCTAACCCCCCTGACGAACAACATCTCGAGATAATTGGTGCCACCAATTCCACCAAAGTTCAGAGCCTTTTATATTGGATGGTGAACAACCAAACCAAGGCCAGGGACTTCAATAGCTAAAGCACACAGATCAACTACCAATAAGACCATTGCTCTGGCTTACCTGATCACAGATTGCTATAAGTAGCTCCAGCATCAACTCCTAGCTTCACAGCCTCACAAGCATCACCTCACATCAAAAGAAACACAGTAGCCTTCCAGAACACACAAAAACAACAGTCACTTACCATGGCTTCTTCTGGTTGTCATCTTCTGGTTCTGCTCCTGGCCTTCTCAGCCTTCCATTGCAGCTACGCAGCTCGTCATCTTTTGGACACAGCAGCTGCAGCTGCAGCACCAGAGGCAGCCCCAGCTCAGCCCTCCATGCCAACAGTTCCAACCACGCTGCCTCCGATACCTTCCATACCTGCAGTCCCCAAGCTGACAGTGCCCCCAATGCCATCTGTTCCTATCCCAAAGGTTACCATTCCCCCAACAGCCGCTGGCACAATTCCATCTCTTCCAATTCCGGCCATTCCGACCACCATACCAACCATTCCTACAGTTCCTGTTACCCTGCCACCAATGCCCTCAATCCCAACCACTATTCCATCCATTCCCACCACAATCCCGACGACGATCCCTACCATTCCCGGGTTCCAGATGCCACCAATCCCATTCATGTCCTCACCTCCCAAAACCACTAGCCCCTGAAGTTCTTCAAGAGGATGAGACTGATATTCATGGTTACTAGTCAGGGATTTGGTTAGGCATATGTTGCCATCATATCAGTGTGTACATTTATTTGTGTTCTGTTATTGGAGTTATACTGGCTTGCATTGGTGTGATTGTAAATGCAGCTAGGCAGTTGTACTATCATGTTTGTGAATAAATCATTTCTTGGTTTGCATAACATACCGCACAGGATATAAGCTTTTTTATTGTTCTTTACACGATCACATACAGCGACAGAGAAGAATGTGACACCTACTATTACAAGGCTTTCTTCTATTTGACAGAATTTTAGCATGGTTTTAGCAATTTAACATAGTACATCAGGAGGAAGCAGACAGACAGGTGTGCTTCTTGGTCCTGTCTCTGCTTAAAAGTGGCTTGATATAAACTGTTTGCATAAATTTTCTAAGCATAATCTACTGATAAGGAAAAAGCTTTACTAAATGTAAGCAGTGATTTGTCTCAATTAATTCTTCAGCAACTCTTCAAGTCACACAAGATAATGAAGATATACACATGTATCATTGCAACAAGATAATCTTCTAACGATATTGTAAAGAAAGAGGAAGAAACAATGCATGAAGCCATAAATTGCAAGAAAAGAATTACGCATCAAAATAACACAGCTGAATCAAAAGATCAGCCAAATTAATGTCAATTTGGTCATAAAGATCATGGAGAAGTTATCATAACATCTCTTTCAACATATCAATGCTACAAGAGTATAATACTAAGACGTTATTATTGGTAACTTACAATAGATGGTAGACAGGATGAGAAACTAATATATATGTATGTTTGGAGGATCAATAATCTCAGTAGAACATGATTCTGCCGTTTACATTGGGGAACTCCAATCTGAAGTTGCTGCTAAGAACTATCGTCGAGTCAAAGGCTGAATATTTCAGGGGTAGTAGTAGTGCCTATAAGTTAAATAAATAATAAGCCAAATATATTAAAGATCAGATGACAAGGAAAAAAAATATCAAAACAGGGAAAAAGGTAAAGAAAAATATTTGTACTATATGTGATATGGAATATCTTAGTACTTACACTGGTTAACAGAGGCTGCAGTAGGCACAACCTGAACATTGAATCTGCATGGTCACACTTAACCCTATGATTCCACTTATAGGAGTAGTTCTATTTTCCTGCTGCAGGCTGAATTTACTGCATTCCCAAGATTCTCAATTTTTTCATATTCCAATTTGAACATGACCATAACAGTACCATCTTTCCCAGTGTCATAGTCCTGTTTGATATCTTCAGCTTGGTAATGTTGCAACTGTTTCAAGGTTCAACGCAGTCATAATTAGGCTGCAGAAAGAAGGATAAAAAAGTCTCTGAAAGAAATGCACATTCAGTTGTACTGTTTTTTTTACAGAAAATGGAACCGCTTAAGCCACTAATCATCACCTGATGATAGACTGTTCCCAAGAGATCAAATGGTACCTCCATACCCACACGAGCCTAAAGTGAAGTCAGAAATTAAATAATAATTATACCAAGTCCATGCTTCATACGTAGTTGCAATGACCAAGAAAATGCTTATGCAAAAGAATTAGATATTATCACCTTTGGTTTTACAAGACAAGTAGGAGCATCTTTTAGGCATTCAGAAGCAACCCCACCATAAGCTCTCACCAGCCCACCAGTTCCTAATTTTATGCCTCCAAAGTATCTATACAATGTATAGCATCATAATATGATGGAAAGTATCAAATAGTCACAAACCATCTGTCTAGCCAAAAGTTGTAGTTAATGTACACATATATCTGTCAGTTAGTGACAGTATTATCTCTGCTCAAGTTGAGGTACTTAATTCAGTAGAACACTAAATAGCAACAAAAGGGTGGGTCACAATTTTAAAATTACATGAAATGGTTTGCTTAACAAATCGGTTACCTGATTACCACCACCATGACCATATCAATGCCAGATGAAATAATGGCAGAGTATATTGGCTTTCCAGCGGTGCTTGAAGGTTCACCATCATCATTGTAACGGAATTGCTCTCCCAGCTAAATAGACATGTATAAAAGACCAATCTTTCATCAACAAACATTACTACATGAGCATGAATTGTTGTACGATTCAGGTATATGTACAAACCTTATACGCCCAGCAATTATGGGTTGCACGGGGATCACTGACCTGTTACAAAAGAGACTCATAAATTTAATCGATAATATACCACACAAAAAAAATTGTAAAACCAATTTTCACATGGATGAGTTTTCTGGAAGCCGAAGGTAAATGGACCAATATTATGTGTACACATACAACTGCAAACTTAACCTCACATAAACAACTTGTGAAACGCTAAACGAAATACCTGCAAATCCTAGATGAAGTTTATATCATTCGAAATAGCACGCATTCAACTTAGCTAATGAGCGAACCCTTCAGCTAGGTATGGACACTAAAACTAAAGGATGATGGATTAGTACTTTACAGTGCAGACTACACTGAAAAACTATCGAGTTCCCCTATAGAACAATTGTCTGCTCTCCCTTCAAAGAAAAAATTGGCGATTGTTGGCTGCCACATAGTCGGACAAGAGTTCCCTGTGGCTCAAGGTTAAGACTTAAGACTTGCCCGATTTGGGGCGTCGGTGAGGGAGATGATAATAGCGCGCGTGGAGGGGGACGCACCTCGTTGAGGAAGGACATGGCGGCGCGCTCGTCGGGGACGGGGGCGGCGATGGCGATGAACTTGCTCTTCTTGATCTCGCGCTCGCAGCTCACGCGACCCACGAGCGTCGTGTACGGGGAGGGGGAGACGGAGGAGGAGGAGGACGACGACGACATGGCGCGCAGGCGGGCAGGCGCCAACGCGGCCAAGCTACCGCCACAGGAGGAGCAGCTGCGGTGGACGGCGGCGGCGGTGGCGGCGGCGTCTGGTCCGGGGAGCAGGAGCGGGAGAGAGCGGAGGCGTGGGGCAATGCGCACGGCCGCCATGGATGGGTGGAAACCGTGGGTGCGCGCACCGGTTCCGTGTAGCCACGGAGATGCTGCTGGTCGCTCTGACAGGTGGGCCCAGATTGTCAGAGCGGACTCGCCCTATGACAGGTGGGGCTCACGTGAACAGAGGGCGAAATACTACACTCGACAAACAAACCATCTACATAAATACACAAATTATCTCGGCATTATAGAGATCAACATAATCTTTCAACAATTGATCATCTTTATTCATGTAGAACGGAGATGAACACAAAAACAATAAAACATAAACTTCTTAAGGGTCAACCCTCTAGAAAATGAAGAGGTCCAACACAAGCAAATTCAGTTGGAACTGCAGCACGGACGACATGGTAGAATCAGTTTGGGAGTTTAAACAGGCCCCATCCACATGGTATGGAAACCACCATTGTTGCGATAGTGGATTCCCCTATACATACACTCTGGGACACAAGACAAAATTATTAACTCTTCCAAGAAAGGGAAACAAAGAGTTCCTCCACTCTTCAGTAGCCCCAGTTGTCGTTACGGATTTCATCATCGAACTTCTGCTTGACCTCAGGATGCTTTGCAAAGTATTCATCTGCTGTCATTGTGCTGATATTTTTCTGTATACGTGAACAAGTATATGTTAAAGCAAATGGAAAAATGCTCTTAATAATGGATGCATGCACAACCAATCTCTGACAAATGGACTGCAATATACAAGTTTCGCCAGAGATCATCCTCACCTTCATCTCCTGCAATTCAGCAAGCTCCTTCTCTATCCTCTCTGACTCCTTCAGAGACTCCTTTTCTGCTTCTTTCAGCTCAACAAGCTGCATATGACGTGATAAAAGAGAAAAGGATAAAAGGTGCATCAGTATCTAAAGGGTACAGAAGGATAACCTGTTGAAGCAAGATGAGAGAAAGACGGGCACATATAACAGAATGATAGTTCCAGACAAGGGTGATAGACTTATAGTTCCTCACCAGCGCATCAAACTTTGGCTTGTACTGAGGAGTCACGGTGTCAACGTACTTGGGGATTTCAATGCCTGCATTTATTTCATGCTTAGTATCTTCACTACAAGTAGGCGGAACAAACTATATAAACCAGAAGAATTAAGCAAAAGTAATACTTGCATGGGGTCAATTGCAAATTCAAAGTGTAAGGTTGATGTGATCAGCATTTTACTAATATTCCAACAATAAATTTGCCTTTTCCCATCCGGAAAAGGGCATGTGAAATAACACATACTACCTTCTATTGACTAAATCACAGAGAAGAACATGCATTTCTGAGCATATTACAGTGCCACAAAAAGCATTAACATTTGGATTTACAAAACAACTTGTTCCTTTGAAATAAAAAGGTACAGCCAATTAGAATCATTAACATGGTAGGTAGTATGTGCTAATTGCATGTCAGCAACATGGTACGAAGATATCGTATTGATTGACATTAGAAGGAACTGAAAACAGCATATACATATTACTGATATGATCTGAAAGATTCAAAGGTCTATACACAAGAGCGACAACAAGAAAAGGCATAACAAGGTCATTGACCAGAAAATTAGCACACGCTAAGAGACAACCAAGAGAATCAACCCACATAATCATCAAACAACAATATCAACTAGAAAGAACATATTTGCCACTTCCCACGCCTTATGAAATATTGAAATATGTTGATGTGATTATAGAATCATATTCCAATAATAGATTAGAAAAAAAAAATCAATATTGTCAAACACTATTTCTGAGCATTAAGTTTGTAACATCACTGTAGAACAATGGTACAAAGACACACTAACGTTTGTGCAAAGAAAAGCACACTCAAATTTAACCCTACTTCCTTGAAAGACGGGATATGTTTGAAGAGTAAGGCCGTGTTTAGTTCCACGCCAAAATTGGAAGTTTGAAGAAATTGGAACGATGTGACGAAAAAGTTGGAAGTTTGTGTGTGTAGGAAAGTTCGATGTGACGGAAAAATTGGAAGTTTGAAGAAAAAAGTTGGAATCTAAACAGGGCCTAAAATGCTTACTTTCATAAGCTTCCTTGTACATATCTACAACTTTAGACCCAATTCCTTTTCTGTAGTACTCCCAGTCAATCGGTTGGGGCTCCTGCAGTGTCAAAAGAGAGAAACTTTTAGAAACATAATACGGGACCTCAGAAATTAACAGCATTGAGAAAACGCATGCTGCAAATCAAGAGAAAATGCATGCATCCAAGAGTTCTAGATTCTTCCAGGCATTTTTCAAGGTAAAAGTACCAAAGGAACATGACGGCATCAATTTGACAAGACAAAGGATCATTTTAATTCAAACCATATTAATCTTATTAGCCACAAAGACAATACAGATCCTTGGTGATCGAACGTAGTCTGTAGACTATAATAAAAATCCAAACGCGCAAACGCGGTGAACGGAATAAAGATGTCCATAATTAACAACGTTCTTATGCTGATGATCGTAAGCACCAACGATGTGAGAATGTTGGCATAACGACGACTACATTTGTATGGGTTAACCTATCTCCGATGTATATTGGTAAAGTCCAAATCTAACTGAATATCAACATGCCAACAAAATTATTACAACGCACACGAATACAGAATATACCCAACTAAATGGATCGATTCCACTAACATCTCACCATGGGATCTTCGCATTCAATACAAGATCAGAAGGATCGGATACGGGAGGATGCCCCCCAGATCCGGAAACCCTAGGTCCGATCCGGCGGCGGCGGGTGTGGGGTGGGGGGGGGGGTGGTGAATACCTGAGAGAACTTGGTCTGGAGCTGGTGGTTGACGTCCTCGAAGGTGCGGCGGAGGGTGTTGAACTCCTTGCGCGCCTCGTCGGAGACGAGCATCTTGGCCATCCCCTCCCAGTCGATCGCCTTCCCGGCCTTCGCGGCCACCTCCGCCACCTTCTTCACGCCGTTCCCGCTCATCTTCCTCCGCCCTCCTCTCCCTTTCCTCTCTACCTCGACCTCTCTCTCTCCCCCCTCGTTCGCCGCCGCCGCCGCCGCTGCAGTGAGCTCCGACCACACGGGAGAGAGAAATAGGGAGATCGAGCCACGGGATGGGGATTTGCCTGGCCTCTCTGCCGCTCGCGTGGGGTATACTAGTTGGCGACTCCTAGTGGGCCTCGCAACGAATTCCCTTGGGCCGTCGGCCCATTTCTACCCACTACGGGCCTTCGTGGGCTGTAACACAGACCACGTAGGGACTATTTGTCAACAAATTTTCTTAGACAATTTTGCTATATATTTATCGACAAATCTCCCCCCCCCCAAATTTTGACAGATGTAATTATAGTACAATCATAATGTAATTACTGTAACTTACATATAATTACACTGTAACTATAATGTAACTTGTATGTAACTTTCAAAAACCTCTCCATAACATGTTATTTCAGTAAAATAGAGGTCGTGGAAACAAATTCTTTCACATATGTGTGTGCTGTGATTTGTTTTCTTCCTCACCAAAATAAATCTTGTAATAGATCTTACATACAAGTTACACTGTAGTTACATGCAAGTTACAGTGTAATTACACTACGATTATACTGTAATTACATCTGTCAAATTTTTAGCAGAAAATTTGTCGACAAATGTATAGGTGGTCGTATGTAATTATGATACAATTTGTATATAACTTTCAAAATCATATGATAACACGCTATTTTCATGAAGCGGAGATCGCGACATCACTCACGTACGTACGCTTGATCTTTTTTTCTTTCCAACTTGCATGAATCTTGTACTCCCTCCGTCCCAGAATATAACAAGTTTTAAGGTTAGACACGGTTATTAATAAAGTATGTAGAAGTGCGGTTATTAATAAAGTATGTAGAAGTGAGTGGTGGAGGGTTGTGATTGGATGAGTAGTGGAGGTAGGTAGTAAAAGTAAATGGCGGAGGTTGTGATTGGTTAGGAAGAGAATGTTGTTGGAGAAGTTGTTATAATTTAGGACAAATCGTGAATGTTAAAAGTTGTTATATTTTGAGACGGAGGGAGTAGTAAATCTATTGATTTAGAATTATGTGAAAGTTTTATATAGTAGCCACAAATACTTTAGTTATATTTGATAATTTCTTAGAAAAAATTTATCGATAAACATAAAGCAAAATCAGCCCGCATACCGCTGAACCCGTTCTGAACATCACAATTCACATGTGGTAGTTTTCTCGAGGAGAAACCAGTAAAAAAAAATCATCACATACTCACAGCGTGATGCTGAAGAGATCACTCGGGATTATCAACTCTTTTCCACCACGGATCAGAGACAGGTAAAAATGAGTACATCGGTGCATGGAGCTGTGGGCTGTGGGCGGTCATACTACTCCAGCATGGAAGAGATAAAGAAGTGAAGAAGTACTACGAGATAATAAAGAGAGATGGATGTAACTGACGAGCTAACTGATGAACTGGTGTCGCGGTACGCTTGGAAAGCAGAGAAAGCGAGCGGTGCATCGGCTTGAGAAAAGCAGAGAAAGCGCGGTAGGGAGAGGCGAGACCACCGCAGGTTGCTGTCCTCTCCTCTCCAAGTACAGGCGAACTGGAACTACGTGCAGAAATCGGAGATGCAGTCGCCGTCGCAGCAACGAAACCGCCGGTATACACGTACGTACCGATGGTGATCTGCGTCGTCGTCGGAGACTAGCGCTTTTGCCCAGGAATCTGATCAACAAATTTTTTTTTAACTATATCTTACTTATTTTCACTATGTGCACACCTCTCAATATAAAATTAGACACTCATATCAGCTTAAACTCGATGTAAAGTAGACTAAATTAAGCAAGTACATCTCTCTATATTTCGTTATAGCTCCACACCTGCTGGTCCTCCAACTCCAACCACCATGGCGGCAGAGGAGATGGACGCGGAGCAGCAGCGTTGTAGCGGCATGCAGGTGAGTGGGGACGAGGGTATCTTGGTGGTGTACTCACAGGCGTTGGCCGGCCTGCAGAGTTGGTTGTGTACTTGCGCTGGTGAATGGTGATCACCGGCTAATGGATGGGAAGAAAGTCTATTCGTCCCATGAAAGAGATGTACTTTAGTTCTAAAGAAAAAAAGAATGCGTAATTCATAGAAAGTCTATTCGTCCCATGAAAGAGATGTACTTTTTTTCAATGTCATCTAAATCTTTAAAATATAAGTTCAAACTTAATTAATACAAGTAAAAACAAATATAACAAATCTGACAAAAAGAATTCGTAATTCATAGACATTTTTTTAAAAAAAAATTTATATAGGTACTAGAATTCTCCAAATCTCGTGAAATGACATTATAAATTAATCTATCTTACCTTTTTTATAAGAAAAAAAGATGATTTTTTAGACTATAAGTAAAATAAAACGAGAAGACATTCTCTCTAGCGACAAAAATCCATACCATGGATGAAAAGCAACTCAGCTAGTACTCTGTGAGCTGGAGTGAATAAAGTGAAGGCCTTCGGTCCCTAAGTTTGTTAGTACTAATCAGTTGTCTGAGATTTGAAGAATTCTACTATAGGCTTTTTGACCTCAATATCCAACAGTTGCATGAGGAGATGGTCGAATTAGGTCATCATGGTAAAGGGTAGGATTGACAGGGTGTGAGGTGAGGTGGGGTGGATAGTGTAGGGGTGTGTCGGGAGAGTTCGTTGTGCAAATGGCAGAGAGCTAGTATATACTTTCTCCATTCCAAAATATATGGGATTTTATACGGATGTGATACTTTCTAATATAATAAAACCGTCCAAAATCCATTATATTTTGGGACAAAGAAAGTACATAGCAAGCACCTCGGCCACCAAGGAAATTAGAAAGACAGTGAACGGCGATAACAAGGCTGAGATAACGGCGGTGTCGTCTGGATCATATGAAAGGAAGGAGAGCGATGAGCAGCAGAGAAATGAGATTGCATATATGATCATAATTATAATAAAGAATATAAATAGCTAGCGAGACTTACGTCGTGTTTTAGGCATATTTTCAAAATTTTCTCGTCTTCAGTGAGTACTATTTCTAAACTGATAAATAGTATGCTCCATGAAAAAAAATTCCATATCAAAATTTCTTTTAAAAATCAAAAACAAACTTATTGCCACCAAACATCACGTCCTAACAGCTTACTTCTATTTTGGATTAGTTAGCAGTGTTGCTAAATGAATGTCCGATGGTAAAACACTCATAAAATCTGGTTAGCAAGGTTAAATTATCCACACCTTGGAATAAAATCTGGTTGGTCGTTGGTTATAGAGTTTCCATTGGTACTTTCGCGGCCTAATAAGTGTTACACTATGTTTAGTTAGCCAACAGTATAAAAGCCCCTAATAAATGTAGGATTTTATATTGGGTTGCACAGAGCAATGGCAATTAAATCAATCCACATTACTCCCTCCATCTACTTTTGATAGTCATATTTCTAAATCTGAAAATTTTATTTGATAGGCATATTTCAATCCAACAACCTATCATCTTATTGATTTTCTTGAATTTAATACGTGACTCTCCATTCTTCCACACATGATTGGCTACATGGGCTTTGAGAAATATAAATATTAATGAATCGCTTGTTTATGAGGAATAACTAGTAGCATATTTAAATGGATGATAAGTAGAATTACTTATCCTTGGTCTATGTGTCAAGATGAAATATGACTATCAAAAGTAGATGGAGGGAGTACTATATACTACTCCCTCCATTTCAAAATATAAGACATAACCAGCCCTAACCCAAATACCAAGAGAATAATTATTATCATCTTATAGATTAGATCATCCTAATAAATACAATACATGCATCCAATAGAATATTAGAGAACATGAGAGTGGAGGATTTAAAAAAGTAATAATTTAGTTAGTGGAAAAAAATTTGGTGGAGGAGGGGTGCAGCGGGCCTGCTGTGCAGCCCTGATCTGGATGAACGACACGTGGCCCAGCTACCGATCCAACGAGAGCGCGCGTAGGGCCTCCAGCACAAGTCTCGGCTGGCTCCCTTCGGCTGAGAATCGATCGGCTCCCGTCCCGGCTCCCTCCGCGCTCATGCTTCCCTCGATGCGCCAGCTCGGCTAAAGTATATCCCTCCCTTATTTCTCGAAGTCTCGATGCGCCTGCTCATCTACCGCCGCTGCCCGCGTGTTCCCCTCTGCTTCTCTCATAGCAGCGAGCGCCGGCGGCGGCGGCGAGCGGCCGTGCCGTGCCGCGTATGTGTCGTCTGGACAACAAGTCTGATTCTGATAGGTACGTCATCTCTCTAGAAATCAGAACCACCACCAGCGTCTGCAGATCCAGATTATTTGCTCTCACCTGAAACTACAGCTGCAATCTCTGTTTCGTTTCTGACAATAATTCAGCAGCAGAGCAATGTTCAATACTTATGTATATTTATTTTCCAATGGTATCTCCCGGGTGCTTTCCTCCCGCTGAAGAAGCACAAGACAGCAAACAACTGAACATATATATAACTCTTGCTGTAAACTAATGTACGCATACATTTCGAAATCACTTCCCTAAAAATGGAAGAACATAGTTTTGAAATTGTTTCCTAAACCTTGGACTAGCGGATTAAATTGCTCATTTTCTTGCAGGTTCTTCTCCTGGATTGGACTGATGGATTAGAATCAGTAAGATGCATATTGTGGATTGAGCTCAAACCTCATTTTTTTATCATGGTGGTTCTGTATTTTCTGTGCAAAATATAAAGGAGGAAAATGCTCAGCCTGAAAGGACTTTAATTGCCACAAGAGGATGGTTTTCAAAGGACTGTAGTTTAATATGCAGGCTTTGTAATATGTACTATGTAATCTGCGAAATGTTAACAGTTTGTAAGGATTGTAGTTGAAATCATACAAGCTGCAATGTAATTGCAAGGAAATTCATCCGTTTGTAATCTGTACAATTTTTGTAAATCTGAAATACACATGGCAGTTGATAACTAAAGTTATATAATTATATTAGCACAATATAAGAAATATTATGATTGTCATGATCATGGTCATCCTCTACATATAGGTGAACATCATCCATCATCAAACAATGCTGATTGAAAAACATGATAATTAAAGAACTAGACGATATTACCTGCATTATCCGCTCGCCGCCGGCTCCAACATCCCCGGTGATTTCGACGTCCATGGGCGCAGGTGATTGAAATCCATGTCCTTCCATGCCATGTGCTAGGGCAGGTGAAAACAACACGAGATGAGATGTCCCGGCAGCTGCAGGGTCCTCCTCCTGCCCTTCTCCTGCCATGGAAGCTGATGCAGCTGCGTTGCCCGTGGAGACTTGTCCTGCCATGGCTGCTGCAGTGCTGCGGTTGCCGGCGATTTTTGCCGTGATCTTGAGGCGCAGGATGAGACGTCTCACTCCACGTCCGCGTGATCCAGGGGCACGCGATAGGAGCTTTCCAATTTCCACACCCACGAGCCGATCGAGCGCGTGCGGTGATGGCAGACGAACAGGCGCATCGAGAGAAGCGTGACCGCGGGGAACAGGATCCTCTGACGTAGATCTACGTCAGAGGGACGTCCGACGCCGCTACACCCCTTGATCGGCATCGGATGGAGGTGAATAAGCACGGTAGATTAACTGGCTTCTTTTCTGCTCACGCTGACAAAATCGAACAGTTTACTCGCTCGCAGGGACGTCGGCCGGCGCGGAGAACGACGGCGTCATGGCGACGTTCAGCGCCTCGTCGTCGCGCGTGCAGGTGCGTGTGGCCAGGAACATCAGTGCGTACGCCGCCCTGGAGCGCATCGCCACCGCCTGCGCCAGCCGGAGTGCGTGCCTCGGGGGATGGCGAAATAAATCCCGGCCGGTTGTGGCCCGCCGGAGACGTAGTCAACGTGGCCATGCAGCACCCATCCCGGCAGCAAGGCCCTCCGTACGATCACCATGTCGTTCAACTTGCAGGGGCTCATCGCAAATGCCATTCACTAGCACGCTGGCATGTATCCAAGCTCAAAGCACAACCATGATGTCGATTCTGGCAAGAAGAGTAAGATTCAGCAGTGCTCCGTCTGAGCGTGAGCTCGAGGAGGCAGCTAGCCATGGCCCATGCAAGGTTCGGCCAGAAGCGCTGACCCCAGCGACAGGAGGTCGGCGCAGGCGAACCACACACTCAACACGGACGGCTCCGCCGCAGGATGCTGCGTGCTGCGGGCCTGCGGCACCGTCGACGAAGAACTCGGCGGCATATGACGAGAGAAGCGGCCGCCGGCCAGGAGCGAGCCTTTCCGTTTTCGTGGGTTGATTTGTCAGCGTGGGCCGAAAAGAAGCTAGTTGGTGTGCTGTGCTTGTTTACCTCCGTTCGATACCGATCCAGCGGCGTAGCGGCATCGGACGTCCCTCTGACGTAGATTGCTCTACGTCAGAGGATCCTGTTCCGAGAACGGAGGGAGCCGGGACAGGAGCCGATTGATTCTCAGCCGAAGGGAGCCAGCCGAGACTTGTGCTAGAGGCCCTACGCGCGCTCTCGTTGGATCGGTAGCTGGGCCACGTGTCGCTCATCCAGATTGGGGTTGCACAGCAGGCCCGCTGCACCCCTCCTCCAAATTTTTTTCCTTAGTTAATGGCCTATATGCATGCATGCCTTATATTATGGAACATCTTAAAAAAGTGGTTGTGCCTTATATTATGGAATGGAGGGAGTACTACTAGAACCAGAATAGGATAATAATTCTAAATTTATATCCATGTAATTTTGGCCCTTTTGTCAATCAGAATCATGGTCAGAACAAGCTTGTTTTTTCTGTGGATTATAATTCAAAACGATTTTAAAATTAAAAGTTTGGTGTTCAACAATAACTTTGGATGAATTTTATATGTCCTCATAACCATCATAAAAATGAGTTGGGAAATGAAGTGACCATAATACCCCGAAATTAATCTAATTAAAATATAAAAATTGAAAATACTTTTGCCGATACTTTGTTACGTCGTATGTATTTGAGTCGATTTTTAAATTCGTTCGCATTTGAAAATATATAAGGAGTCGTATAAAATATCCTTTTAAAAAAATCACATACTAAATTGGGACGAGAGTCGGACTCCTAATTGCTTCAGAATTTTTTTCAAGCCATAAGAAAGCAACATATAGAATATGACCATCATCCGAATAAGAGTTCCGAATTAGATAACAATACTATCAAAATAAAATTCTCATATATACTTTTCAAAAAAAAAATCTAACAATAATACGATTAAAATAGTCTTCACCCTTTGCAACGCACGAGCAATTTTTTTAGTCTAAAATTCAAAATCAGTTCCAAATTAGTTTTCAGCTGTCCAAGCAACAAATAGTAGAAAATATAAACACATTCCAAATTTTCGATCTCACCAGACATTGAGTCGTCAACCCTTCGTGAGGTAAACAGCAAAGTTAAAAACCCTAATGACTTTTACTAGTGAGCCAACATCAATTAACTAGATATATTTTGATACTCTATGCAACTTTGCAAGAAGATCAAAGGGATTGCCTTGGCCTTGCATGTCATCACGCAAGCACTGCATCACTAGCTTCGATTTAGCTATTGGTACGGCGGCCGTGGCCGTGGTGCGCTCGCCGCCGCCGCCGCCGCCGCCGGCGGCCATACCTCTTCATGCTGGCACGCTGACGCGTACACAGGTTGAGTCGTCGTCGTCGTCGTCGCCGTCGCCAGAGCTATGCCGCGCGGATGCAGCGGTGTCAAGTGATGGTGCTCCGGTGGCTCCGTTCGGCGCCGCCCGCGGTGTTCGTCAGCGTCGGCGCCGCTGCCGGAGACGGGCGCCGGCGCGTCGTCGTATTCCGCGGGGAGGCGGTGGAACGTGGGGCTGGCGAACGCGGCGGCGACGACGACGACGGTGGTGGCGGCGACGAGCGGGCCCGCCACGGCGCCTCCGAAGATCTGGCCGTGTGGCCCCGCGAGAGATATCGAGAGGCCGCCGAGCGCGGCGCGTGGCGCCGCCGCGGCCATGGCGGGCGGGAGGAACGTCGCCGATATGGAGAGGATCTCGTACCGGCCGTGGAACACGACCACGGCGGCGGCGGCGCCGCCGCCGATCTCCGCCGCGGCGCCGGAAGGCAACGGGTGGCGGAGCGAGACGTTGGCGACGGCGCCCGTCCCGGCGAGCACGCAGATCCCGAGGCCACGGCGGCGCGCGTACCCCGCGAGCGCGCCGGCGACGTCCCCGCCGCCCGGGATCTCCAGCACGTGCGACCGCATCGCCGCCGCCGCCGCCGGCTCGGCCGCCGCCGCCTCACGCGTGACGACCACCGGCGGCTTCGGCTTGTTCTTGGACCCCGGCGGCCGCCCCCTCCTCCTCTTACCCACCACCACCACCGCAGCAACACCCTCGCCGCCGCCGCCCGCCGTCGTCTCCTCCGCCGCGCCACCACCACCATCACGGCTGTCCACCTCGTCAGAGAAGCACTCCAGCTGCTGCTTCTTCTCGCCCATGGCGCCGCCGCCGACGACGAGCTTGCCATCGCCTTCTCCTCCTCCCAGCTGACTCCTCCTCTCCATACCTCCCTCACAAGCAGCAGCTAGCTACTCCAGCTTGGAGTGTGAGTGCAACAATAGCTAAGCTAGGAGGAGGGTCCCTGGCTGCTTTACCCTACCGGGAGAGATTTCTTGCCGGGAGAGGGAGCACGGTGAGGTGTAAGTGTAAGTGAAGCAAAGCTGGAGAGAGGAGAGACAGGAGGACAGGATTAGCCACTGGATCCGGAGAGAAAAGGACATGGAGCTCATTACCTAGCTAATAATGCCATACTCCGGAGCCTCAGGTAGCTGCAGTTTATTTCCAATCTCTCCTGCTGCTGAAATAGTATAGATTTTCATTGACATTTTAAAAATCTGTAGCTGTAAAATTTAGAAAATAAATTGACTAGAAACCCAAAGTTGATAACCTAGTTTTTTCATATTCTTACTAGAATTCTAGAGCTCCTCCAACAAAGATGGATAATAAGATTAAGTGGGTACGCAAAACAAGAAAGTTATTAGCATATAATCAATTAAATTTTTATTATTATAAACTTGAAAACTGGATTTATTTGATATTTTAGAGTAACTTCTATATAGAAAACTTTTATACAAAATATACCGTTTAGCATTTTTAAAAGCATGTTAATAGAATCACATCTTACCTGTGATGCCATAAGTAGGGCCCTTCCATTTTCCTTTGATCTCCTTTCATCTTTACCCCTTTCACCGTCTCCTCCTCCTCCTCCAACTGACATGATGCATGGCCGGTGTGTGTACGCTATCCAGCATCCACCCACCGGCCGGCCGCCGCACCCTTTGACGGCACGGCAGCGACACACACGCACAGCCGCGAATCCGCCGCCACCTCTCACGCTAGCTTTTTCATGTGCCGACGCCGCGACGCGAGCGAGAGATCTGAACATATGCATGCTAGTACAACTGCGCGTTTTGAATGTTGTAGTAGCTAGAACTGTCAATTATGTGGAGGATATTTTGGAGGGCACTCTAAAACCGATCGAGCTATATTGGTTGATAAGATTGACAGGGACGTTTGCAATTTGGACGACCAATATATAATCAAGCACGTGATATAAACACTTTGGCTGGCTAACGTGATAGGCCCAAGCGATGGACCTGATATGATCCATCCACCTGTAGCTGGCTTATCCAATCTTGGTCCTACTCCATCTCTTATTTGTGGGTTTATGCGTTCAACATTTGACTGTTCATCTTATTTAAAAAATTATAAACAAAATCACACATAAAATATTATTCATATTTATCATCTAATGATAAAAAAATATTGATCATAAAAAAATTTAAATAAAATGGGCGACTAAATATTAAACATAGAAACCGACAAATAAATTTATCTTGAGACAGACGGTGTACTTGGCCCGTGGAATAGGATGGAGTTAATGTTGTTCGCTTTTTAAGGGAAAGAATCCAAAGCTAGCCGCACTCTGCTATCAATCGGTCTCTATCCGTTATCGACCCGTACGTATCTCTGGAACGCGACGTACAACATGTCAAGGGTGTAGTAGTACTTGCAGTCTTGAATAATTCATTCACATGTTCGTACCTAGCACGCCGACACATCAAGTAAAAACAGAATTTGAGGAAGTGCTGGTTCCTGATGCCTACTTCCTCCGTTGTAAAGTTCATATTTAATCCTTGAAGTACAAATTAAGATAGAGCAAAAACGACCAAAATACTCTTCATTGATGGAGAAAATAGTATTGATGATTGAGTATGTAAGGGTATTGAAGTAATATTTTTTTTATTTGTGGATAACCTTATTTTGGAACAAACAGTATAATCTAAAAATGAACTTATTTATGAACGAAGAGAGTACTTCTATAGGCAAAACAAAATCAATATGTGAATAGAAGCGTTAAAATAAATTCCCTCTAGTTATATAATTCTTATCATTTTGAACATTAAGGTTGACTATCAGTAATGTCCAAAAATATAGTTTAAAGGCACTAGAACAACGTATACATATTAGTCTTCGAAAGCACTTTAATAAAATTGATTATTTATTTATTTATTATATTTATATTATAAAATTATATTCAAAGGGTGTGTTCTAAAGTGAGTTTTCAGACGGATGATTAGTCGCACGTAAACAAGAAACATGATTAGTATATGATTAATTGAGTAAAAACTTAAAAAATAGATTTATTTGTTTTCTGAAAGCAATTTCTAGATAAAAAGTTTTCACACGTAACATGCCATTTAATAGATTGAAAAACATGCTAATGAAGATCGAGAAACTAAGTTTAGGGTGCCCAAATGGAGTTTAGAACGCACCCAAAAGATATGTTTTGCATAATGTACGTGTCATTGTTTAGAATGATATAAACTATAGAACCGGAGGGAGTAATCAACTTATGGATGAACTGATATGTGTGCATGTATGCTCTCAATATAATGCTTCAGCTTAGTAGTCAGACCACATGCAATTATATGTGCGTGGCTTTGAAATTAAGTAGGGTGGAATTAGCTGCAAAGTGGTTGCTCCTCCAGTACGTCCTCCTGTTGTCTTGGTTAGAATTCGTGGTGGCTTTGGTGGATCAGATAGAGACGCTACAATCTACATCGACAGCTCTGGTTTTGACCTGGCAGGCACAGGCACAGCACGTATGGACGGAGACGGAATATGGTATGGTATCATCCATGCGCATCCCCTTCGGAGAAGAAATTGGTTGCTGAGCCCTATTTCTTTTCCAACAAACGGAATGATAGCTGAATACTTCGTGTTTCTTTTTTTTAAAAAAAACATTCTTATATATAACACTTTTAAAAAAACTATTTTAATTTTATTTTTTAACTATAATATTTAATTTATTCGGTTGTACCCTTAAATAATTATCGTAAGTCGCTCAGCTATTTAGCTACCTAGCCAAACACCCTAAACTTTACACAAGAATCTGTATTTCCATGTCATAGCAATATAGCATACACAGCATCCGTGAGACCATGATACGCTCGTTAATTGCTGCACTTGTCAATCACCCCACCAGGCTTGCTAGCTAGCAGAGCAGATGAAACCAGGTTTGCCCATCCGCTGATCGAATTGAAGGCAGCAGATCAAACCTCTTGGGATGCAGATCCAAGATGAATAAACAAGATGCGTGCACTGACTGAAATTTTCAGCCATTATCTACAAACTGAGCCATTTTTTCCTTTTTCATTGCAGTGGGGTAATAATACATCCTACATTATTATACCTCTACAACCCAAACCCTCCACATGTCAATAAAATGTTTGGGCCGTCCTTTCCCTAGCCGATCTCCTCAATAAAACACTATTGGCTTCTCCAGGATCATGCTCAGTCCCATCTAACCTCCTCCTATATTGTTCTGTTAACTTACTACTAAATTGATGTTTACTTTGGTTAGTATACAAGGAAGAACTTTCATCGCCCTGATTCCAACCCTCCCTGGCACCCTGAAGCCTGTGCTCGTCAGGCCTATACTGATCCACCTCTTGACCCGATGAACTGGTACCCAAGCTAGACTTTGATCGGGAATAAGTCATACGGCCGTTTTCCCCATGTCCGAACATAGAGCCATCAAAGTATGAAACTTGATCACCAAATATGAGGCGTTCCATATCCTCACTGGTAGAGTTTCTAGTGCTTTCACTGCTGTCGGTGCTATGTGACCCTGTGTCGGAACTGGTGAAAATTGATGAACTCTCACTTGGACTAGGAGATTCTGCTGGCGAATATGGTCCATGTCCAAACTCGTCATATGTATGGGGCAAATCATCTGTCATGTGATCTGCGTACATCTGACCACCTTGGTGTATGGGACCTCCTCCATGCCACCGTCCTGAATTTACCCTTGCCTTGTCCTTCTTTACACGTGCTGGATCTTGAGCCATCAGCGCTGGCCTTACAGAGCTTGGAGCTCTTGGTGAACACCTGAAATGGTTGACAAAGGATTTATATATGTCCTGATAAAGATCCAGGCAAGCACAGACAAGTAATTGCCAGTGTCTGCTATTCATGAGAACTTCTCTTTTTTCCGCTCCTTGAAACAAGTGGCAAAAAGAAAAATAACAAAAAGGATCTTCTCTCTAATGAAACAAGAGAATCTACCTTGCATAGAGCAGCATGTATGCGCACTTCGACATGACATTTTCCAGAGATACAGGTTTGACCTGAACAAAGCAATTTACCCTCCAGTTAGAACAAAACAATGGTGCAGTGCCTTTTGAAGTCGCGTATTCTGTTCAGTATGCTTTCACTAACACATAGATTATCCTCAGTAAGTAGTACTCTCATAGCTAAAGATTATTCATTACTTAAAATAGGAAAACAAGGCTCCGGAAGATCCAGGAATGAACATAATCGGCTTTACTAAATAGTGTTTTACCAGTGATAAAACATTGGGCAGGTATAGGCAAAAACATGGTGAAAGAGCTTGTTTACCTGACTGTCATCTGTTTTGTACCACTTCCCATGCGTGTCCTTCACATAGCATACATAATGACCAGAAAAGGCGGCATTCATAATATCATGATGGACAACCACTGCATACAGGCTGTAAACAGGGGAAGTGTCATCAGCTTTTGGGCTCATATAGCGCTGCAAGTTCAAGGTCTCTGGAAATCTGATGGCTTTGTTGATCTTTCCAAACTTTCCAGACTGTATAGATACAGAAGAAAAGTATTAGTCAAACACTAAATACAATTTCAATGCTTGTTGGACTTATTCAAAACTAGGATAAATGAAACAATGAACTCTTGAATAAGTAAACAAGTTCCTTCAGTGTTGCTATTATAAGAAAAGCAAAAAAAAAGGTCTTATTGTAGATGATACCTGATATCTTTTCAGCGCAATAGTCAGGACATTTGGTGCTTCCGATATTGTCAGCTTCTTTTTAGCGCGCTCATGCGATTTGCATCTGACATTACATAGTAGAGTTAGGAGTATCAGCATTAGGGACTAGGCACAAAAGCAGTCAAGTTACACAGAAGTGATTAAATATGTAGTTATTACAGCTCTAACACGATACATTTATTATAGAACTAGATTAACAGGACACGTCTTATGACATCCACCTTCCTATTATTTCACAGAAGCAAAGCAATTTTAACAAGCAACAGAGCGTTCCACCAATTCTTTTTCAAAAGTCCCTCGAGAAGATATCTCGTTTTCAAGACTAAAATATATGCAACTTTTGCATGGATATACATGACAATTTCTGGGAAATCAATTTTCCATCTCAACAATTTGCCAGATCTGAAGGCACTACTCATGTTGTTGTAGAAAGCTTGGATACGGTAGTTCAAAAATCAAACATGTGATAGCGTTTCAATAAGTCTATCGTGACGGTTAACCACCACAGTTGGTCACTCATACTTCGCCGTAAATTAATAAACACTCTGCAATTCAGAGTTCCCATGTAATGCACATTCAGTTTCACAACAAGTAGAAAGCTCACCAGCATGGTGCTCACAAATAACATCAGTATTTACGTGGTCTTTGCGTGATACACTCTACACATTAGACTGGTATCCTCATGCTACCTGATTATGTTATGATACGAATTAATTTTGTAAGGCCTCTCTTGGCCAACTTTCACAAACAATAATGCATGCCTATCCTTTTATTTTTATTTTTCCCTTTCACTAAGGATTACACATTCCCCTCTTAAATCCTGATTAGTGACATGGGAAAAAAAATCGATCCCTAAATCCCAGAAAGTGAATACGAACTTAGGCTACAGGTCTGAGGTGCCTATAATTCGTTTTGAAATTACAACAACACTATAATAGAGGTCCTTAACTTACTACGGTCTCAGTGACAAGCATTTTGAGGATTTTGGAAAGTGGCAAAAAAGATGTGCACTGTATGAACGCATATGAGCACAAAAGGAACAGCAAGAGCTGGCAGAGAAAGATAGAGGTCAACTAAGTAATAAACCTGCTGCATTTATATTTATTATCTCCATCCAAGACTTCTGTAGATGTAAATCGCTCAAGTGCTCCTTCCAGTGAACTGATGTCGCCATCTATTTCAACAGTAAGATCCAAAATACGCTCATGTTGCTCGGAAGTAGCATCACATCTTGTGCATCTTATCTAGAAGAAGGAAAAAAGCAGTCAATAGGAGTGGGGCTTCATTACACAGCTGATCTCAGGTAATTGAGTACAAACAACAGAAATTTAAACTTGTTCTGTGAACTGTGAAGAAAACCTTAGATCGCAGATAGCCCCCAAATATTAATTGCATAAGTGTTGTTTCTTCGTGTAACCGATGAGTGCCGCTTTTCCTGGCTTCCTTCATGCATACAGATTGCATAGCATCAATGGCGTACCTACAACAGATCAGGTAGTGCGGTTCCATCAGACACTATTGTTGAAAAGAACTGGTTGAGCACAATTAACTAAGCTAATTCAAAACAAGGACATTGGCAATGCCAATTCATACCCAAAATAATATGTTTAGGTTGTTTCTACCAGGATTACAACATTATACTGATGCAAACCACCACCAAAACTCCGAATCCAGATGATAGGGAAAAAGGTTGTCATTGCTCATTAGATTCTTCATGCAGACCACAGACCACAGAACCTAATAAGCACTCCGGCTACCACTCAAATATTCAAGTAGGCCTATTAACTTTAATTTTCTGCATGAATATGTGATATGATACCCCCGCTCTTATCCCCCAGTGCATTCCTCGTTGAGGCACATAAATGTTCCTAACTTCTGCTAAACTAATTCTTAACTTCTTAAACTGGAAACTGTCAATTAAAAAAAATAACTTACCTAAGGAATTCATGAGCATCTTCTTGTTTACCAGGACCAAAGCTACTTCCAATGTCAGGCAAATGAGAGAGTATCCCAGTTGGTGACAAAGCAATCTTGCCTTGTCTGCCCTCCCCAACGAGTTTTTCAAATTCACACATGAAGCACCATTCCTTTTTGGAACCTAGAGAGTATGATATATTAAATAATTACTCAAAGAAATGCTTTATGGGAAACAATGATGTAATAAACACAGTAATAGAACATTACAATTTTTTGAATGAAGCCCTCCCAAAAGATATGATGTAAGTGGTCGGGTAAACATTAAGCACTGAAGAACAGCATTTGCATAGCAACTGCAAGAGAGAGGAAAAAACAAGGTGAAACAGGGTGAACACAGAACACTGTACTAAGCTAATTCCTGCATAAACACCACAAATTATCATAAAATTCGATGCAAGCTGTGATATGTAGCCTGATAGCCACAAAAGGATGGGGAGAGCTAAGTTATAAATCTTAGAGAAATGCTAAAATAATGAGATAAGCAAAAAAGAAACACATATATGTGTTCCAACTATCCAGAAATAATCCAAAACTTACCTATTGCCAAGGTTATGAAGACCAAACGGTTGCAATTCAACCTTTTCATAGAGCTTAATGAAAAGCTCATATGGAAAATGTGTCTGAAAAAAATAAAACTATTAGCAGATAGAAAACTCCTACTAACTATAAACACAGCAGTTCAGTTTTGCTTACTGGCTCTGATGGATAATGCCTCACAACTTTTGGTGCTGTTTGCTGCCTGACAATTTTTTTCAGAGATGTTGCCAGGCTATTTGCTGTTGAAATTGATTTCTCTGATGGTTTAGAATTCCTTTCAGCAATATTATCAGCCCTTTTTGATGAATTAGGTGTAACAGAACGTCCACCGGGAACAGGAGAAACTTTATCAACAGTCAAAACAGATGGCACCATTTTTGACACACCAATGTTGTCTGAGCCAGCAGCTTTTGTCTTGGAGTGTCCAACTTCCACATGAAGAGCAGTCCTGGAAGTTTTAGGTTCTACTGCAACAGGTAGAGCAGCTTGAGCATTGTTGTTATCTGCATATTTTTTGCTGTTACTAGTTTGAGAGCAATCCTGGTGCTTCTTGGAATCAATTAAGGACTCTTTGTTGATAAGACTTCCAGAGCCACTAATCTTTGGTGGAGAAGGTTGAAATCTACACACCAACGCCTCATCTAAGTCCTTTGTGTAAGAACCATTTTCAACAGGAGTTGTAGGTTTCATATTTGATTCTGTCTTTCTACTGCCAAGAGAAGCTACTTGTGAAGAACTTTGAGGGAGTTTGACCGCACTGACAGAATGGTCATCATCAGGAACCTCCACCGAAGCAAGTACTTCTGAGGGCATATCTTTTGTTTTATCATTTAAATTCTTCACGGTGGCTGCCGTGTTGGTTTCAGCTATGTTTTCTTCAGAAGCACTTGTCTGCTCAATTTTCCTTTCCTTTGCAACAGAAAGTTCAGCCACATCATCATGATTAGCATCAGTGCTTGGTGGGCGGCATTCATTTTTATGACCCTGTCTCCAGTGGGCTATCTGGCATTTGAAGGAACTGCAAAAAAAATGAAGGTATCATTGAAGTTGAACAAGTAGCACATTCTAATGCCATGCACAACATTACACTATAGCTCAGAATTTTCAATGTATACAATGTAACAAAGATAATAACTTAAGAGTTTGAAAAGGTATCAATGTTGATATCATATCCAGTAAATTAAGCCTCAATGTTAAGTATTATGAGTTTAGAATCAAAGGATAAAACTCAGAATAAAAATAGTTGTTGTAATCCAATAATGATCTTTGTTAGGATGATTAACTAAACTAATCCATAAAAAATCTACTGATAAACTCAAGTAATCAACGGTTCCATAAGTAGTTTGCTAAATTCTTATTACGACTATCAACCTCGAAAACTTCAGATTCGTTTAATCCATAATCATGGGTTAACACATAAATATACTCATGAATGTGTAGCAGGTGATGAAATTTGTCAATGAAAATTATGGAATTTAATTTTCTGAAATTATGGAATTTAATTTTCTGAATACCCTTCAGATTAGCATGATTGATGTGTGTACATCTTAAAAATATATAGTTTTGTGATAAAATTGGGGTTAAATCTTATATTTTTGCAACAAAATGGCTTCAATCTGTAGTATCGGGATATATTCTATGCTAAATCTACAGTTTATTATGGCGTAAATATGTTGTTTTGTGATAATTTTGTCCAAACATTTGCAATTTAGTGAAATTTAAAGGATATGATTAGAGATAAGCTTATGCGCATGAAACAAATATTGTGAAGAATCACCACTGTTAAGCAGTATGAATCTTTTCCCTCCCCGCAAAAAAAAAAGGTATGAATCTTTTCCCGCAAAAAATAACTATGAATTTCAGAGTCTCAACTATTTATTGAACATGGTTTGATAAATCATCTATGTTTGTTGCCTCGATGTAGAGCATCTGAGCATAGGAAGCATCATGTATGAAAACGATACCAGTAAATTCCATCACAACAAATAATATTGCTTTGTGAAAATGATACTTTTCTCATCTAGAGAACATTTTAGACATTGAGATCCTAACATCTTAAACCCGGTCATGTGCCTAAGTTCATTCATAAATAAAAGACAATAATATATGTGCCCCGAGCCAATGGACGGACAACTTTAAGTCAGGCTAAAAAAAGTAAAGTTTCCAAGAAGATCATCATCAACAAAAGTAATAGAAAGAATTGAGCCATTAGGATCCTAGTTGGGAATATGACAGATGAGCGATTCACAGGCTAATGTCTTTCAAAACTGTGTTTCTGTTAGCAATGCCATATGTCCACATTAGATTCTTCAAATGCAACAAATGGGCACAAAGAAAAGACTAAATAGAGGGTTATCCATACCAAACTCACTTGCCAATCAGTTATTCAAGATGGTCATGTTATGCGCAAACCAAAACTAGACGCAAATTCCAGGCTTTCTGGAACCACTAGCCCTCCTCAAGGTTGAACACCGAAATTACTACGAAATACAGAAATCCGCACTACCAATCGCAGAACTCTCTTTCCGATTCCCCTTTCACCCGGTGAAATTTCACGAAATGCAAAGGGGGACTCAGAAGAGGGTTTCAGAATTCAGACAACTCACCAGTACTTGACAGCCTTGCACTGCTTGCACCTGAACGTCGTCGGCCGGAAGCACACCGCGCAGACCCCCTTGGCACCCACCGGCGGCTGCGGCTGCGGCTGGGCCCGGGCCTCCATCTCCGCCTCTGCCTCCGCCTGAGCCGGAACCACGGCCGGCGGCGCCCCCCACGCCGCCTCATCCACCATCTCCGTCGCGTGCACGACGCTCGGGAACAGCTCCGAGTAGTAGGCGCGCGCGCACTCCACCTCCGCCATCTCCGACTCCTCCTGCGCCAGCCGCGTGAGCCGCAGCACCTCCTCCCTCCGCGCCGCGGCGCGCCTCACCTTCCGCCGCACCACAACCCACACCACCACCACCACCGCAATCACCACAGCCACCACCACCGCCGACGCCGACGACGACGACGACGAACCCGCCGCCTCCGCCATCCACCACCTCCTCCTCCCCTCTCACCCCGCTCCCCTCCTCCTCCTCCTCCCCTCCCCTCCCCACCGCATAGATCTCGCCGCCCAACCTCCTCCACCCACCGGATCCGCCCGCCGATCCCGACCCCGACCCCTCCCCCGCACCTCGCCGTAGCCAACCCGCCAAAATCTAGGGCTTCCAATTTTTTCCCCTCCCCTTCTCTCTCTATCTCTCTCCTCTACTCGAGTTTTGTTTGGTCTTTGGAAGTGACGGAGAGGCAGGCGACGGAGAGAGAGAAGCCGGCGGACTCGAGAGGAGGGAAAGGAATAATAAAAGAATAATAATCCGGCTTGTGGAGGGGGGAAACTGCAAAAAGTGGTTCCGCGAGACGGAGAGGGAAGACGGAGCACGTAACGGTAACGGCCACCGCGACGACAAGAAAGGAATGGGTTCCCACACGCGGGAGGGGGGTGTGGGCCCGAGTGTGTCTGGGCCGTCGGATCGATTCCCCCCGGGTGGATTTCGTACCTAACTTTTGGAATCGCGGGAAAATGTTATTAGCAAGTTTGTTCTTCTTCCCTTTTCTTTTTTGTTATGTGTTCCCGCCAATTAGGTGTGGGGTCCCATAAAGTGACTGGTGGGTCCCACGCGGTTGACGTTGAGGGATTTTTCACATGAAAGGGATTTTTTAATATATATATATATATATATATATATATATATATATATATATATATATATATATATATATATATATATATATATATATATATATATATATCTGCGGTTGGTAATTGGAATTGGAAACTATTCTAAGGTAATTGGTGATTTTTATTCGTTTTAGAAATTAGAAGAAGTTCGGATTTGTCACAGTTGCCTAAACTTCATGAAGCTTTTATTTAGGCAAATATATTTCCATCAATATCACTTGTTCTCAATATTGCCTACCCGAAATATTCGATGCCATAAAATAAAATACTGTAGTAATAAACTAATAATAATCATTTTAGTAGCTCAAGACCTTTTGCAAAATAGCCCAATTAAATCAGTTTTTTTTTTTCTGTCGACGTCACTTTTTTTCTGTCAATGGCGACGAGGGAAGAAAAAAACAGAGAAATCAAACAAATGCAGCAGCTGAGACGAACCGGCAAATACGTGCCAAACAAGCGACGCTTTTCTCCCTTTTTCCTCCTCCTGATTCGCAGCGTCCGAAGTAGGCATGGTTTGCCTCACCTGGCTTTCCCCCACGTACCTTTCCCCTGCGCACGCGACACGTCACGCCACGCCACGGCGCGCGCGCGGGCGGCGGCGTCGGCGCGTCGCCCACGTACACACACGCTTGTCGCGCCACCGCCATCCTCGCGCGCCGGCGCCGACGCTTCGCGGCGCCGCGGGCGGACGCGGCGGCGCGGGCGATGGCGACGCGCCGATGTGATATGCGGCTGGTCGGCGGACGGCGGGGGGTTTGGTTCGCCGAGGCGACGCCACGTCGGCGCCGGAGTATCCCTGAAGGAAAGCGCGGCCACCAAATTCCAGACAACCGACTCGCCGACTGCATCTCGATCACAAAAACAAATTAATCATGCTGCATGGTGACATGGTGTGATCTGGACTCTAAATAGCATCAGATCAAAGAGACCAATTGGTGGTAATCATCAAGCATCAGAGCTAGATTTTTAATTAATTAGGCAGCGGGTGAGTTCTGGGAAGAATCCATCGATTTCCATCAACAGAAGCACTCGAGCATGTCGTCGCGAGATGAGTGGACGACGGGAACAAGAGGCGAATTTCACCACTTCTCCTCACGCTCGCTCGCTCGAAATATCAGTGTGTTGTTACAGTCAACTGATTGCTATTGGTCTGAAGTTTCAACTTACACCGGCCTTCTTCTTCTAACCAGTAGTTTAGTTTGCGACACGATCACACGATCTGTTCCACGAGCTGTAGGGTGTGTTTCGTTCGCTAAAATTAAAATAATGTAACAAAAAAGTTGGAAGTTTGTGTGTAGAAAAGTTTTTATGTGATGAAAAAATTAAAAGTTTGAAAAAAAAGTTGGGAACTGAACCAAGCCGTAGTATCGCTGTTTGTATAACAACTGTCTATCAGCATGATGCGACGTCGAAACAACTAAAAATTTTCATACCACCCAATTAACGAACAACACACCAGCTAATACTCTGCTCAGGAATCTGCTAGCCTAGTAACAGACGAGATTATTCAGGTAAAAGTGGTAATTGAAATTATGCCAACATGGCAACATTGAATTATGTTAACATGGAAGTCCAAGAGCATGCCAAGACGTGGTGTATACGATTCAGCTCTGCTAATCAAGCTCGTACCCTGAAGAAATTTCCTCCCGAAAACCAATAGCTTGTGGGGTGGTTTAGCTTCCAACGAATTCAACATGTACATGTGCTGAAGAATACTGCAGCAAAAGCATGCGTTGTTTTCTAGTACATGCACTGACCTTTTTTTTTCCTCAGTGGGAGTCCAAAAGCCTGACGAATCAAACCATTCATTGATTTCGCAACTAATCCGGTTGCTTTCCACGGTTGTGGTCAGTCGATTAGATGCAACGACCAGCAGGGCGATTTGTTTCCGCAATTAGCGAAATTTCACCGAGCTGAATCTTCTCATCAAACTTATTTGGCGGGATTAGGTGCGTAACAAATGAGAATATGAGATTTTTTTTTTCAGGTTACGTTTGCAGAAGCAACCTCCTCGTTTCGATAATTGCAGCCTTTGCAATATAAGCATTTCTCCAAACTGTTTTTAGATTGAAAATTTGTACCGCAGTATAACCATTCCTCTACTTATTTTATTCATCTCAGCTAATTACAACTATCTCTTATCTAATTTCTTCAACTATTTTATTATTATTGTCTTAACAAGTCATGACTATTTCTTACCAATTTCTGCTAGAACTTTTAGAAAGACTGTATTTTAGCTTGTATTTTTCGTATAAGAGTATTTTAACTTGTATTTGCAGCACGTTATCTCTACAGATTAAACCAAAGTCTCTATCAGACTATAACCTACAGTGCATAAAGTTCTGTAAAGCTCACCGGATGCATTTTGCCCCTTTTTGTTGCCAAGTTCCTTCAGTTTTTTTGTTCTCTTGCCATTCTGGGACAGATAAACACTTTTCTTTGATATGCTAATGCTTATGTGGTCCATCAGCTAAGTGCGAGAGAGCATTGGTTGGGGGCTAATCGCCTGAAGTTTTTTATTACTTGCGTACAGAATTCTGGCTCAGGAAGAAAAGGTTTCAGATAATTCCATATTTCCATCGCTAACCTGCGACCGTCAGATGATGGCGACACACGTTTTCTCCTCCATGCTTGATTGTATTTTAAGTTAGCTGATTCCTTCTGTTTTGTTCTTTGTTGCATGGAGAAGATAACGAAAGAATTTGTTGCGGCTGGGTTTGAAACTGTGTGCCAAACTAAATATACCTAGCTGGCTAGTTCATACATTATGCCGTCCATGGAGTTGGCACCATTCGTGAGTCAAATAATATATTATCATGACCTGAAGATTAGTATATCGCATTGTTATGTCTTGATAATTCACGAATAGGTGAAACTTGCATCATAGGGGAAAAAGACATTAAGAGTGATGACATGATGTCAACCCTATTCAAATTCATTCTTTTATGAGAAAAAAAATTATTCAAATTTCTTCGTTCTTTTCCACTTACATATCATAGATTATATCATGTTTATATTCGCTAAGTTTGTAGGATTCATGATTTCTTAAAAACGGGGCTGCTATTCAACGGAATCCCGTTAGGACAGAATGATACCAATTAGTTATCAGGTCCTGATACCTCTGAGGTATCATGTCCTGATACCTAACCAGTATCAGGCGATATTTGCGAGATATCATGTGATACCTAGAAGGTATCAGGCGATTCCTACCACGTATCAGGTGATACTTGCAAAGTATCAGGTTATACCTGTCAAGTATCAAGCGATTCTTACCACGTATTAGGTGATACTTGCGAGGTATCAGGAGCCGGGCACCAAGGCATTGTCGCCGGTGGTCCCATCGTCCACGTCTCACGCCGGAGCTCGTCGCCGGCGGCTGCATCCTCCACCGTCCACGCCACGTCGGAGCTCAGTGGCGGCGGTCGTGTCCTCTCCGTCATCCAGGCCCCACGCCGAAGCTCGTCACTGATGGCCGCATCCTCCACCGTCCATGCCATGTCGGAGCTCATCGCCAGCGGCTGTGTCCTCCTTGCTCCGCGTCTATCCACTTCGACGATAGCTCTATCCCCGATCGTCGTGACAACCCACATCCATCAGCTCCGATGTCGAGCTCGCGCTGCTCCTCAACACGGCACCTCTCTTCGATTCAGCAACGGCGGCCAAGCCCCACGCGCCATCGCCGTCCTCAGTTGGCGTGAGTAGCTGAGCAGCACGACGGCGACGCCCACAACCTACGGCGACAGACGCCATGCCGCAACCTCGCGTGAAATAGACTGTCTCTACTGCAATGGCTGCCGTGGAACCTGGTTGTCTCCACACCATTCTTATCTGTAGCTGTGTGAGGCTGGGAGAAGATCCCGTCCTGAACGCTAGCAAACGGTATCCCGGTATTTAGCATTTCCATAAAAAAATACATACATTCTTGGGATAGTATTTAAAATAACTTTTAACTCCGTTACCCTCTAAATATTAATGTAGAATAAGATAATCTATCATATATCCTTTAATTGAATGTTCATTCATTATTTTTTTGTCCGATTAGTAGACTTCATCGTAAACAAGAGGGTAAATTTGATCATGCCACTGAAACATTGTATTAGAAAAATGTCACTAACAAAATTGAAAGTATATTTGTGTCACTTCACTATTCTAAAATAAGAAACGTGCAATAGCTGTCAAAGCATGTAACTTCTTCCTCTTGAGGTGGCCAGCGACAGATGGACGGGAAGGGATCCAACAATGGCGACCAGAGTAGACATGATAAAGACGAGATTTGACAGCGACAGGTGGAAGAGGTGTGACAGGAGGAGATCCAGGAGTTGTTGGAGGAGGCAAGGGATCCGACAATGGCAAGAGGACGACGAGGCAGAACGGGATGCACTGACGTCCTAGCAACCACAATCGCCTCTACTCACTGTCATCGAGCTCCCCTTAACCTCTCCAAGTTGTATTGCCATCGCTATTAGGAGCTCGCTCCAGCAACCACTATCACTATTGTCCTTCAGTGTGACCGAGCTTTGTCTGCCTCTCAAAGCCGCATCGATGTCGCCCTTGGGAGCTTAAGTCCGTACATCGTTGCCTCGCCAGGTGAGCTCGAGCCCCCACATCGCTGCGATGCGCTTGCGCCACTCTGCTTCTCCACGGCCATCCATGCCATCAGCCGCTATGACAATCATTTTGTACTATGCGCGCCGGAGATAGAGAAGAAATAATCGGGAGCAAGATATTGACAGAAACCTTAACGATAATAGATCAATTCAAATTTATAAAAGTACCAGTGTCACCTATCCGATTTCGTCTTAACAATATTCTTTTATAGTACAATTTGATAACCGGATAGGTGAATTCAAATTTGCCTTAATTTGCAGACTGTAGGATAATAATATTATTCAATTTGCCTTAATTTACACTACAATTGGATAATAATATTCAATTGTCTTAATTCAAATTTGCCCTAAACACAATTCATTATCTGCTCCGCCTTCCCGCCACTACCGTCTACCAGTCGTCCACCAACACCACGCCACCACGGCTGATTCTCCGATCCGGCCGCCGACATCGCCGCCGGCAGCGTCGGCGGCCACAAACAAGGTGATCGTTTCACCCCCTACCCGCCATTCTCTCCACCGCTTGCTGTTCCTATCGGGACTAGTCGCCCTAACCAACCCAGGCGACTAGTTTTGGACTCCGCCGCATCACATTTTGCACGCACGATCTCTTCCTCTCCTCTCCTTTAATTTCCCCAAGTCAAACAGTTGTTTATTGGATCGATCGATCGATCGGTCAACTCCTACCAGGGCTACCCAACCCATCCTACCACCGACCTCGATCCCAATTGTTTAAATGTTTATTAATCTCCGGATCATCCACCAACTTTACTAGAGAAGCCAGAGAGATTCGGTCGCGGTCCCTTTTCGCGCGCACGCGGGCCAGGCGCGAGGACCACCGATGCATCAAATGTGCTTAAACCAGCAGCGATGGCGGTTGTTCGGGGATGCGGGGGCGGGGCGATTTACTCGGCTGCCCGCGCGCCGCATGTGCGGATAGGTGGGTGGAGTTGTGGCGGGCGGGGCGCACGCTAGGTGTTCGATGTAATGCGGCAGTAGGGTCAAGCGCGTTCGCGTCCTGGAGATGGGGGGAGTTGGGGCCTTGGGGGGTTTATGAATTGGGTCATCGTGCTGTAGGTGTAAGGTGTTGTTTAGGTGGGATATGCCTCTCACAGCTCCGACGCCTGATGGGAAGAATTGAATATTGATGGTGGGTGGTGTATCAGTTTGAGGCATGAGGTCGTCATTCCTTTCTTTGGGATGGATTCTAGGCATGTTAGAGTTCTTCTTTTGATTAAAAGTTACCTCAATCCAGACTGGCATTGATAGAAAAAGAACGTCGGCTATTAAAACCTCATTCCTGGTTTAGTTATTCTGAGCAATGTGAAGGACGGTTGTTCTTTCTTAGTGGTCCTAGTCTGTTCAATGAAGACATGCCATTCTAAAGTCACATTACATTGTGAATTCAGCTTTGACCTAGAATCCTACTAGATAACTAGTAGTCTAGGACTCTTTTTGGAAGTCACCAGAGCTTCTTTATTATTTATCAAAAAGGTAGAGCTTTGACAGAGAAGTTGATAGGTTAACTATAATCAGTTTGCACTTGAGCAGAAAAACCCACAGATCCTTTTGGCAGTACCCCGGCCTTTTGATTTAGGAAATAGCTTTTCCACATGGTTGTCAATTTGATTGTTTTCTTCATTATGTTATTGTGCACTTCAGCGTGTGCACATGGATACACTTGATGGTACCCCTTTGAATACCGCTGCAAGCATTTCTTGTAGCCTGGAGGATGTGAAACGTTTATGTTTTTGCTAATTATATAAAACGTTTTTTTTTTCTGAAAACACACACTGTTTGCGCCAGGTTTGAAACTTGGTTTGCGCCAAGATTGAAGCTTCCATTATTCTTTACAAGTACCAAATACACCAGCTGCTTTCTTGTCAGGTGCTACCAACATAAGGTTGTTGCACAATAATGCACTTCTTTTCTTATGCTGACGTACCTATTTTGAATTTGCTCTTGAATATCATCCTCCAATATTAATCTGCTATAATTGCAGGTTGCAGCCACCTTTTTTTTTGTTTGAAACTTTGCAGCCACCTTCAATATGGCTAATTTTTTAATCTCTAGTACATGCGAATATGAATGCCAATAGAATAGAAGTCTGAAATATTCTTGACCAGTTTAATACTACCATAAACTGGTACAGTACTATTCAACTTATGTACCATAATGGCCTTCTAGGTAGTAATGTTGAGAAGCTATGCTTATGGCCAGTACAGAACTCACCAGTCACCAGTATGTCTTTGGCATAATCAAACCATGGTGCCCACATTGCTGTAACCATTCTGAAATTGCAGAATTAGCATAAGGGAGTCTTCTAAGGTTAAGTAGAGTGCCTTGAATTATTGAAAGTAACAGATGGCATTACGAATAAAATTTGTATCACTGAGTAATTTGCTATTTGATGTGCATGGCTTTTGTTTGTTTGCATACCCATAGCACAGTTGCACACAAATTACCACGTGTGCTCTGGCTTTTAGGTGAAAAGTTGAAATAAGATTAACCTTTTTCTCTCTACTTCTGACCTATTTAAGGGGTTTGTTTGACTTTATGGTATTAACATGTGAGAACTCTTCGAATAAGTGTCAGCTTGCCTACCTAGGAAAGTTGTAGCTGATAAAAAAATATTGCAACATGTCTTAGAAATGTTGAATAGTTGTTAAGTAACAGGTTGGTGTAAGACAGGAAAAGATTACGATCTTTTGTCTGGATGTCTGGGTTCCTGGCAACTGAAAAAACATTTTAATGGGCCAAGTCCAATAGGGTAACAAGTTGTGGAGGCCAATTTTTAGCCCAAATAGTGTGATCCTTCAAGTGTCTGCAGAAGTGCAAGATGCAAACTTCAGAATTCTGGTATAGTTGTACCAACTAATAGGAAGCTTTATGTTCTCATGATTGCAGAACCTGCACCTATAATCTGGTAAATTTCTCACACATGTTCCTGCTGAAGGTAAAACTTGACGCCTCTTTTATGCAAAGTTAAATTTGACTTGTATTGTGTAATTTATCCTTCTCATTTCAGTATGCTTCTTTGGAGCCCCTTCCTGTGTTGAGATGAGAAGCACCTGTTTCAAAGTTGTATTGTAGAAACTAGAATCCTAGAGTATCATTCCCTTTCTGGTATTTCCGCAAATGTACAGATTTTTAACCTTACTAATGCTTCATGCATGTTCCATCTTCTTACCAGTCTGGGTTCCTGGCAACTGAAAAAACATTTTAATGGGCCAAGTCCAATCGGGTAACAAGTTGTGGAGGCCAATTTTAGCCCAAATAGTGTGATCCTTCAAGTGTCTGCAAAAGTGCAAGATGCAAACTTCAGAATTCTGTTATAGTTGTACCAACTAATAGGAAGCTTTATGTTCTCATGATTGCAGAACCTGCACCTATAATCTGGTAGATTTCTCACATATGTTCCTGCTGAAGGTAAAACTTGACGCTTCTTTTATTCAAAGTTAAATTTGACTTGTATTGCGTAATTTATCCTTCTCATTTCAGTATGCTTCTTTGAAGCCCCTACCTGTGTTGAGATGAGAAGCACCTGTTTCAAAGTTGTATTGTAGAAACTAGAATCCTAGAGTATCAGTCCCTTTCTGGTATTTCCGCAAATGCACAGATTTTTAACCTTACTGATGCATCATGCATGTTCCATCTTCAACATCATGTTATCATGATCGTGGAGTGGAATGATAGAACCAGTCAAGGATCATGATTGGCTCTCAAGTACAAAGAAATTCAGTTGGAGTTGGCAGGGAAACCATTCAGTAATTATTTAGGTACACATCTCTATCCTTCATCAAAATGGTAGGCAATGGACCTGTGGTGTGAACTCTGTTTTTACTGGTTCGCACATAGAATGCCTACTTATGTGGATAAGAGTAAATACATTATGTAGCCAATTTTCTAACAGTTGCAAAGATTTATTGAGGCATATTGGAGTTATGTTGTGACATGACACTTTAATTTGGCCAAAATTTATTAGCATCAAATTGGCAATAATGAAACAATTTCCTTTTTAGGCAATTTAGTGGAAATATATCACAGTTAAATATTTGTGAAGCCCACTCCAATTATGCTGTAGACTAGAGACTTGTGGCCCTCCATTTTTCAGATATTTGCGTATACCTAATTTCTTGAGCAATCAGCATCCACTTAACACCAGAATAGTTGTAGAATTTTCAGATAAATCAAATTGATACAGGACCAGTTGTAGGTTCGTGGTCACCATCATTTGATTTCTGAATCACTGTTTTATTGGTTTTACATGATCTACATCAATCATATTCTTGTCCAAATGAGACTAGAGAGAGTTCATGCCTAAATATCAATCTCATGCTCCTATTAAACAATATATATATATATAATCTTTTGCTAACAAGCTTACATTTACCATTTGTATGAAATTGCTACTGGCCAGTGCCACCTTCTAGCTTGAACTGATTAGAGCTTGATAAATGGATATTTGTAGTACAGCCTGGCCATAACTTATATGACGTAATATGTCATGAAATACTGTCATATGCAGGATAATATGCCACTTACCGAAGCAAGCTGTTTATCAAGCTGACACTGTTATATATGTTGAGTTTGACATATTTTCTGATGTTGAGTGATGGGCATGATTGCTCTAGTGGGACTGTGGGAGGTAATATTGTGCTTCCAGAATCTTCTTTTATTGAAACGATAAAGAGTAAAAGAAAAACTGGCTTGGATAATGTGAATATTGTCATTCAATTAAAAATGAGATGGTCATCCAAGTTGATCCTAGGACTTGAACCTATTAGGGCAAGAGGTTAAAGTTAACCTCCTTGATAATATGCCTCTCAGTTCACATGCATCAAAGAATGACGATCATTTTCTTGTTCTTTAAGTAAGCAAGACAATGTAATTTTCAGGGCTCAGGTGCCGGGATGTATTGCAGGTGGGGTTGCAAAACTGCACTTGCGGCAGGTCTCTACTGAGTTTAATGGCCTCCAACCACACTGACGTGAAAATGGGTTGTTAATAAGGCATGTCAGTGAGATCCTAAATATTCTTGATGACTCCGAAAAGCTGTTGATCTAAATTTACTGTAAGAGTTCCAAAAAGGTATGGCCGATCAAAACACTGCTGCTAATGTCCTGCAAATGCATCTGGAAAATCAGTCCATCATGTCTCAAACTGCTTTCGTTGTGCATATTCTTATGGTACCGGTCAATTTGGTATGATGTCATCAGTTGCCGCTTGTTTCTTTTGCTTTTTTTTTTAATTCCCACAATTGGCTAATGCAAGTTGACAGACAATTTTCTGTTGCTTGTTACATGTCCAAGAAGTAGTCCTTTGCATCTAAATCGACGCTATGTGTTTCCTGTTCAGCATGATTCAGAACAAGTTTGCATGCAAGGTTGGGAAGCCAAAGCTTAAAGGCTAAATTTGAACCAGGATGCTGTGCTTGAAGGACAATCATGTGATTTCTCAAGAGAAACAACTGGTTTCTGCTCAAACTCCGCACAAAAGGTGAATAGCTAACCTCGTCTACATTTTCTTCTAAGATGTGATATGACTACCAGTTATATTTGCAAAACTAGTACAGATTTTAACCTCTGCTGCAATTGATGCAATTTATTTTTTTTATTACTGACTAGAAAGCTCTGATGCAAAGTCCTTGTTTGTAACACATGAATCTTCCCTATGTCCTGTGAAATTTCAGAATTAGAAACTATAGTGTTTCAGACGTGTCTCGAGTCCATCTAAAAAGCATGTCTTAAAAAAGCATTGGCATTTAAGGCTGTGTTTGAGAAAGGGGAGATAGAGAAGATTTGGGAGATACACAAAACGAGGTGAGCTATTAGTGTATGATTAATTGAGTATTAATTATTTCAAATTTAAAAAATGAACTAATATAATTTTTTAAAGCAACATTCCTATAAAAAATTTTTACAAAAAACACACCGTTTAATAGTTTAGGAAGCGTGCACGCGGAAAACGATGTGCATTCTACCTCCAATCTCCCAGAACGAACGCTGCCTAAAACTAGCGTGTTTCAAAGTAGGTCATCGCCGGATCGGCCAAATTTGCCTGTTGCTGGTTGGTAGGTCCGTAGGTGGATCCAATTTGTTACAGCGGATATCTTGTCTAGCCTTTTAAAGTTCCTGCACTTGTTCTGTTGCTGACAAGGCCAAAGTTGGCATCCATTGTGCAGACAAAGCATTGGCGAACGGCTCCTGTGCTGTTCGTGTTTAGTTGGTACTAACCTTGTACTAATTGACAGCAAAGCGCTTATGTCATGGCTGCACTTACCACCATTGTTATAGGCTTGTGTGATTTGCATCGGTATCCACTACCAAGCGTGGTGGTGACATTTTGTTTTGCAGCGTGAACATGGACACATGATTTAGATACAAAGATGCAATCATACAAGAGGGGAAAAAAGAAGAAATGTCACTGCCATACCCCCAGGTCCCAATCCCCAAGCCTCCTATGGCCAGGAACATGCACGTCACTGTCCTGCCCAAATGTTTAACGGCGCGAGAGACACGTTTCTGGTTACTGGTTGCTGCTGAATTAGCGGAACTCACTCGCACACGCGGAATCCTATGATTTTTAGATTAGCAATTTACTCCATCATCATTGAGTAGGGTCGAACTGGGGGAGGGTGGTTGTTGATTGATTATTCAATTGCGTTTGAGAATAGTTCTTGTCTGTTTCAAACACTACTAGATCACCTTGGTCTTGGTTGTGTGCACTGCATCTAAAAATACCGAGATGGAATATTCAATTCAGTTTAAGCTTTGAGGGCTTGAGGTTGCCACGTTCCAAGATCCAACATGCTTGGAGGTTACTGTATTACTGACGAAATAATATGAGACACTGGAAACGTTTTAAACACAAGAAATTTAAAAATGCGGATTCCATTGAAGTTTTTGATCAAATCCATCCAAATTCGTTCGAATGCAGGAACAGAAGGAACATATGCCATGGGGAGGCAGGCTAAGGTACAATCTCTCAACCAGGCTGTAGTAGTAATTATTCATAGCAGCAGCATCAGCAGCAGAGGTAGTACTAGCAGAAGTAATACTAGAGGTGGATTGTTCGTCGTCATCATCGTGGCGGTGGCCTTTAGAACTCGACGCCGTTGAAGACCTTGCGCACCTGCTCGAGCGTGACGAAGAGCACGACGGTGAAGGGGCCCTGGCGCGACACGGTGGGGATGAACCCCTTGTACAGCGCCATGACGCCCTCCGACCGCACCGTCTTGAGCGCGCAGTCGATGGCGCCGGAGTAGGGCGGCGGCGCGCCGGGCGCCACCTTCATGTTCATCACCCTCGTCTTCACCACGTCCACGGGGTTGGACGCCGCGGCGGCGACGAGCCCCGCGGCGAAGCTGGCCACGACGTGCGTGCCCAGCCCGTCGGCGCCGGGGCCGCGGCGCGCCAGGATGGCCTCCTTGGCCTGGTCGTAGGTGGCCAGCTGCGACGCCGTGACGATCATGGCGCGGTTCACCGTCAGCGACGACCCGCGCCACAGGCTGCGGACGCCCTCGTCGCGCGCCATCCGGCCGATGGCGTCCCCGACGCTGCGGTAGTTCCGGCGCTCGGCGAGCGGGAGCCGCCCGTCGGCCTGCATCCGCACCATGGCGACGTCGGCCGGGTTCCCCACGGCGGCGCCGACCCCGCCGGCGATGAGCCCAGCGGCGATCTTGCGGTGGAGCGGCAGCACGCCGCCGTTCTCCTGGGTCCACTTCTTCTTCAGTATGTCGTAGAGCCCCATCCGGGTGGTGGAGTAGAGCGTCTGGCGCAGCATGGTGGCCGACACGCCGGAGAAGAGCCCCGCCGCGCCCTCCGCCCGCAGGATCTGCGCGCCGACGGCTATCGGCCCGGGCTTCCTCGGCGGCGCAATCACGTCATGCGGGATCGCCACGGCCTGCCCCGCGTGGAACGCCAGCGCCGGCCGCAGCGCCGCCTGCGCCGGCGCGACCGCCGCCGCCGCCGCCGACGCCTCCCCCTGCAGCTGCATCCTCACCTTAATCAAATCGAGCGGGTGCGTCGAGCACCCAGCGACGATGGACGCGATGCCACCCTCCACAAATCCCTTGAACCCCATTGCTCCTCCTCTTCACAAATCGGACGGAAAGAAACCAAATCAAAAGGAAAGAAGACCAAAATTGCAAGAAAGCTCAAAAGAAAGGAGCAATCTTTTCTATTCCTATTGCTGCCAATAGGAGCTGGGGCACATCTCACTGGAGACGAGGAGATGGGAATGGAGGGCGAAGGCTATGGAGGAGGAGTGTGGGACGCTGGCCCTCTGTGACATATGCTGCTCGTGCGTTCCTCTTTCCTGGGGCTTGGCTTCCGATGTGCTGTTTGTTTGCTGCGTCTTGGCAGAGGAAGAGGCTCCCAAGCCGCTATTTATAGTTCGCCTCGCAAGCTGGAGGGAGCTTGGAGACGGCACGAGGAGGAGGAGGAAGAAGGAAAGAAAGAGGGGTCGCGGTGGTTCTGGGGAAGGCAGATTCGGAGGTGGGTGGTGGCCGCGGGATGGGGAGGACCTGGCCGCCCCGCGAGAGAGATCTCTGGTGGTCGCTTGGACTTGACGCGGAGAGGAGGATGAGAAAAGGGGAAGGGGGGGCGAGTATGACGGCGCGTGGGCGGACAGGGCTCTTGTTGGGTTTGCCCTAATTATTCCGTGGTTTGGACGCGTCGTGGGCCGTCCGTTGGTGAGGATGGACGGCAGATGACTCGCTTGGGGGGGGGGGGGGGTGGGTTTCGGGTTTCCTTGTGTGTCTGCTCGGAAAGTTTTTTTTGCGGCGTATTGGGGTCGAGGCGGGCAAAAGAAGGAAGGGAATAGTAGGCAAGTATAGCTGGGAACAGGATGCCTTGCTTGCTGGTGGTGAGTAGGATGAAAGTGGTACGGATAATTTCTGAGTTCCGATCCCGGTTTTTCGGATGCGGATTGTTGCGGTCGAATTTTTTTCGGATATTCTCGGATTCGGATACGAATTCGGATAGTTTTTCTCGGATACAAATTCGAATACAGTAGCGATGGTATCCGTCGGAAATTGGATTCGGTCGGAAACTATCCGACCTTTTTTTGCCAGATATCCGAATCAAAATAAACAACAAAATCCAAATTAACAAACATCGAAAAACGCTCGTCGCCGTCCGCCGCACACCGTCGCACGTCGCACGCCGGATCCGCTCGTCACCGTTCGCCGCACGTCGTCCCCTCGCGCCGCCGAGCCCCATCCGTCGCCGTCGCCTCACGACGTCGAATCCCGCAACTGCTGGGCTGTCGACCCCGGATCCGGCCGCCCCGAGTCCGGCGTCGCCGTCCGCCACACGCCGTCGCCTCGTGCTGTCGAGTTCCCGCCGTCGCCACGACCCGGCCGCCCCGAGGCCGGCGCGGCTGGTTCCGCTTGTCGCCGTTCGCTGCACGTCGTCGCCTCGCGCCGCCGAGCCCCTGCCGTCCGCCGCACGAGGCCCTGCCCCCGACGTCGCCGTCGCCGTCCGCCGCACGCGGCCCCGCCCCCGTCGTCGCCGTCGCCGTCCGCCGCACGCGGGCCCCGCCCCCGTGGTGGTCGCGGGAGCCGGGAGGAAAGGGTGGCGGCTGGGAGGAGATTGGGAGGTGTGGGAGAAACTAGGGTTAGGTTTATATATCCCTCCATCTAAATGGGCCAACGGGCCTAAGAATTAGCTATTAAGTCTATATGTCCTCCCTCAACTTCGAATTAAATTTTATGATACTAAATGAATTCATGTGAAAAAGTTATCAAAAACAAAGTTGTAGAATTTATTGAGATCTACCAATTTTATTTTGGTCATTTCTTCATCCGAGTTTGATTGAACTATATAAATTTTGAATTTTAAAATATAAGAAATTCAAATAATTTTTCGGGTAGTAAATGATTTCAAATGGAAAAAGTTGTCAACAACAAAGTTGTATAACTCATCGAGATCAACAACTTTTGTTTGGGTTATTTTTCTATATGACTTTGTTTAAATAGTTTGAATTTGGATTTCAAAATATGACACCTTCAAACAACATTTTCAAATACTAAATGATTTCAACTGAAAAAGTCACCAACAACAAAGTTGTATAACTTATCAAGATCTACAACTTTTATTTTAGTCATTTTTTCATCCGACAAAGTTATAGTAACATTGTTTACAAAATTTACATATCTTGTATATGGTTTCATAAGATATAAGAGAGATATGCAAATTTTATAAACAATATTACTATCACTTGGTCGGATGAAGAAATGACTAAAATAAAAGTTGTAGCTCTTGACGAGTTCTACAACTTTTATATTCATAACTTTTTCAGTTGAAATTATTTACTGCTTCAAAATATTATTTGAAGTTGCTATTTTTTGAAATTCAAATTTTTTACTTGATAAAACAAAGTCACAAGAAAATATGGCCAAAATAATAGCAGTAAGAACACAATAACTCGATAGAACATAATTTTAGAACACAATAATAGCATCGTAATGTCTTACTCTTGATTGAATCGTCTCCCTCAACCAAAAAATCGAATACAACAAAATTATTAACACTAAAATTTGAAAATGTTGATATGTTCTATTAGAAAAAATAACGAGTTATATTTATTCGTTGATTTGTGAAGGTCGGTTTGAGGGGCTTTTATGTTCCGATTAATATTCGTTACCGTATTCGTTTTGATTCGTATTCGCTTCGTATCTGTATTCGATAATATTCGATTCCGTTTTCATATCCGGGTTTCTGATTCCGAGAAAAAAATATGAAAACGAATATAATAAAGCTAGTTTTCGACCGTATCCGATCCGTTTTCATCCTAGTGGTGAGTGGTGACTGGGTGAGTGGCTGGGGTGAGCTGTGCGGTTCAGCGGCTGGATGGGAACGATGTATTCGCGGCGAGGACAAACAGTGAAGATCCAGCCCTATTTTGCTCCACGGAAAATATCCAGTCCTTTTTTACTCCACCGAAAATCGTCCTCTACTATTGCCGGTCTGCCAGTTGAAATTCGACCTCCCTACGGGAAATACGTACTCTATGGTGGGCATATCGTGCGTGTAGGAATTGATGAAATGCGTACTCTATGGTGGGCATATCGTGCGTGTAGGAATTGATGCCATTTTGAACAACTATTCAGATTGATGGCATTTTGAACCATATTATTTTTAGTAAAATTAATAAATATGTTAATAAATTTAGTTTGTTATCAAATATTGGTACTGCCTAAAGAATTTTGGTAACAAAACATTTAATCTATCCTATCAAAATTTGGTAATATTAAAATCTGGTAATATTGTTAACTTGTCCAAATTTTGGTATTGTCAAATTTTGAAAAGGTTCATTTCGGTAGCAATCTGAACAGGTCCTAGAATCCAATTCAGGTAATTTTTTTTATCTTTTTTTTAATCTTCAAGCTTTAACTTTTGAACCACTATAAGTGAAAATATATACTTTCTCCGTTTCATATTACAAGACTTTCTAGCGTCATCCATATTCATATATAACTAGATTCATTAACATCTATATAAATGTGGGCAATGCTAAAAAGTCTTATAACCTGAAACGGAGAGAGTATTTTTTATCCTAAAATTACTTTCTCCTTCTATAACGTCTCTTTAGTTCTCTGGCTTACAAGTGGGCCTGATCAGCTATGGTAGCCACTACAGTACATTGCATGCTGCTGCACGGTCGATTGGTTGATCAGAGGACCCACGAAAAGAAAAACAATAAGAGGATTTTTTTTCTCTAGAAATTGGTTAATTTTTCCGTAACCGAAAAGACTTTGACTTAGAAAAGGAGGGCTAAAGGCAACGTGTATCCATGATTGACTATTTCACGATGGTGAATGCTGGAGCCTGGAGTACATCTGCCAGAGTGCCAGGCACACACTGCGTTTGAGAATACTGATCTCAGGCAGTCAGGCTCAACACCCCTCAAGGAAAAGTATTAGTTAAACTCAGGACATTAACGACCTTTCAGGCCATTTCTGTTGCTTGAAGCCGTAGTTATTTTCGCTAATGAAACCTCTCTTGCTTCAAGCCATCGGAGTAACACGCTGATTACGTGATGACTTGCCTGAGACCCTCTTTACATAGGACTAAAAACTTTTAAGTCCCTATCACATCGGATGTTTGGACACTAATTATAAATGTTAAATGTAAACTATTAATAAAACCTATTCATAATCTGGGACTAATTCGCGAGACGAATCTATTAAACCTAATTAATCTATGATTAGCCTATATGATGCTACAGTAAACATTCTCTAATTATGGATTAATTAGGCTTAAAAATTTAAATTAACTTTTATTTATATAATTAGTTTTGTAAATAGTCTATATTTAATACTCTAAATTAGTGTCTAAATATAGAGACTAAATTTAAATCATGTATCCAAACACCACCCAAAGCGGAACGAGCAAGCAATTTTCTATACGAAGGGTACGTCTGCCTGCCGCCTGTGGCCGGCTTGGCTTGCCGCCACGGTTTCCTTGTCGAACGCGTTGCCATGTCCAAGTCTAATTTATTAATAGTAGTATCGATCAAAGCTGTTCCTTTGCACCAAATAATTCACCCCTCTCAGCGTGTCCATACGACGATTTGTCAACCAAATGACCGTTTCGCACCGAGACACAACTCTATCGCTCTTCGTCTGAAAAGAGAGGCGTCCTGGCTACACAGCCTTTTACATTTCTAGTCGTTTTTTTTTCTCATGAGCTGCGTTTGTGGGAGGTGAGTTTGTTTGTTTTGTTTTCACGTGCACGCTTTCCGAACTACTAAACGTGTTTTTCTAAAAAAATTTCTATAAAAAATTTACTTTAAAAATCATATTAATATATTTTTAAAGTTTAAAATAATTAATATTTAATTAATCATACACTAATGGCTCTTCTCGTTTTGGGTATCTTCTCAATCTTCTCTTTTCCTCCTCTCAAACTTGATGTTTAACTATTTGCTTTTCCTATGCCAATAACTTGTGAATCGTTTATGTATGTATGACATATGAATCCAATGGTATATGCTCCCTCCGCCAAAAAAAAAATGAATCTAGGACTGTATGAGATATATTCTAGTACAATAAATCTGGGCATATGCATGTCTAGATTCATATTACTAGGATATATCAAATCCAGTAATGTGTTGGTTTTTTATGGAACAGAGGAAGTAGTTAATTATCATGTCTAAAAGTAGCAAATAGTTAAGGCTTGTTAACTTTGTTATCCAAATTAACCATACTGGATTTTGATAGATTTTGGCATTATTAAATTTTGGTAGCATTGGCTTTATTTGATTTGATACATTTATCAAAATTTGGTAGGCTTTTAAAAGAGAAAACTACTAAAACTACCAAATTTTGCTAAGGTTATAATGATTGAAGTATGTTTAGTTTGTTGCTCTATTAAAATTTGATAATACTAAAATTTTATAAGGTTAAAATTGGCATTGTGGCAACATGACCTTAAGGGCCATTTTGGTTTGATTTAAAAAACATATCTTACCAATTTATTAGCAAATTTAATAGTATGTGTGTTACTTTGGATTGAGATCAAATATTTGGGAGTACTATATTTAGTCATATTCTAAAAGTTTCTTCACTATACTATCAGAATTTGGCTTTATATTGGCAGCAATTCAA